TTTTGGAAATGTCAGGCATTTTCGATTTATCATTAAATACAGAAAGTTTTTGCGTGGGGGTGGTGTGGAATCTGCGACGGCGATTGACAGTGCACAAAACCAATAATTACTCAATTAGTTATTTTTTAAATGTAACAATTTTTCAACGGCTATCTGGGTATTTGCCAGAACTTTTCTATTTTCCACCTGGTAACCCTATGTATCGACACATACTTAGGGTAAAATTGGCCCGATCGTTAAATTGGTCAAAGCGACCGAACATTTAATGAAACGCAACCATTACACGCAGACAATTATTACTACCCACATCTCTATAAAGGCTCAATTGCATAGACTGTACACGTATAGCGACTTAGTACAGAATGGACCATCTAACGTTTGGAATTGGAACTATAGGTTATTTTGAGATTGGAAGGTTTGATGACATTTTCGATATGACAGAAAGTTAGTATTGTGTTTGAATTTATGAAATGGGTCTCTTTTCGCTTGAACAAAGTTGGGAAATATTAATTTATTTCCAAAGTGGTAAATTTTTTACTCAAACTGAAAGAAATTTACAAAAAAAAAATTGACAAAAAGGATGTGCCAAAAACGCAGTTTGTGGATCAATTTGTTAAGCGAGTTCATGAAACTGGATCGTTGTTGGATAAAACAATCCGTGTAAGTACTATTCTATTGCGCTCAACCGAAAACATCGCTGCTGTTGCCCAGGGTGTGCGTGAACAACCATCAACATCAACCCGTCATCGTTCTCAAGAATTGAACATTTCACGCACTTATTTGAGCAGAATTTTGCTTAAAGATCTCGGTATGAATACGTACAAAGTTCAATTATTACAAGAGCAAAAGCCGCATGACCATCCAATGCATTTTCGGTTTGCTAAATGGGCCGAAGACCACTTGATTGAAGATAAGCATTTTTACCGAAATTCTTTTCAGATGAAACTCATTCCCACCTCGGAGGATATGTAATAAGCAAAATTGTTATATCTGGGGCCCAGAAAATTCACACGTCATGGTGAAGAAACCAATGCATCCACAACGAGTGACTTTCTGGTGCGGATTTTCGTCTGGCGGCATTATTGGACCACTTTTCTTCGAAAATGAGCAAGGATACTCCGTTACAGTGAATGGCGATCGCTACCGCGCTATGCTAAGCGGTTTTTTCTGCCAACTTCCAAAAAGGAGACGGTACTCAATTCGACTTTTTACTGGGTGAACCGTGTTCGATGATACTTTTTTTATTTGAAAGCTGATACTTCTCCTGTAGTCCCATATGAATTTGATCAAAGTCAGACCAATCGTTTTGGAGTTATTCTTAATAACTTATAATGAAGTCGGCTTTACAAAATTTTAAATTTTAAATTATTGTTTCCCAAAATTAAATAAGATGGTATAGACGGCACTAGGTTTCAACAGGACAGCGCAACGTGCCACACAGCCAACGATGTAACACTCGATCTTTTGCGCACTATTTTCGAAAATCGCATAATAAGCCGAAATGCTGATGTCAATTGGCCACCTCGAAGCTGCGATTTGACTCCGTTGGACTTTATTTTGTGGGAAGCCGTTCAAAACAAGTGTTAGTACACTAATCATCCAGGGTTTGATTGACGACTTGAAACATGAAATCGAAGTTGCCATTGACGAAATAGAGGCCCAGACAATCGAAAATGTCGCAAAAATTGGACTGATGGAATGGGGTTTTGTAAGGGTAGCCGTTGCAGTCATTCAAATGATGTTTTCTTCCATTCCTGAATGGAAAGGCTTAATCTTTCTAATAAATTCATAACTTTGGAAAAATATTCATTAGTTTTTTTTTGTAGCCAATTCTAATTCCAAACCTTAAATGGCCCACCCCTATACGATAGTGATTTTTGGAAATTTCGTCCTTTTATTTATGCATGACAACATGGCCGAATTTATTTAAAAATTTTTTTTCACAATGGTTCTTGATGATTGGTAAAGAGGATAATCAAGTATGTAAAATATTTATTACTACTCGTATAATCCATCCGTCCTTTCATCCATTGCAGCCTATTAATTCCACTGCTGAACATAGGCCTGTCTCTTAGATTGCCTCATGGGGGGATTTTGCCATAGTTGCCACGTTTGGTAGTACTGTGTAGAAGCTAGGCTAATCAACCCTAAACGGTAATAAATAATGTATACCCTGCTACTACCATAACGCAGGAGGCGAAGGTCTGAAGAAAACATTTATTTCCTAACTACCCCCGGCTACTGAGATACTGCGGGCTGCATATTTATGCGAGATGGTTTGACGTATATGTTTGGCGTCCTAATATAGAAACAAGAAGCAGCCGTAAATATCATCAGCGCCGCATTGTCTTCACACGCCGGCTATATTCATGCATCCGTCGACCATCTTCGAGCCGTTTCTTCAACGCCGCAGCTTCGCTTCTTCTTGCTGTTCCGGAGATGTGTTCCACGCCACCGCCGCTCAGCGAGTGCGCGCGCGCCAGACCGCGCCACTTTTTAACCCCGTCCAGCAACGTAGCGAGAACGTAACGAGAAGCTATCCACGAGTCTACTCAATTGGAGTGTGACATATAATAGTTGTACATAATATTTTATTGATATATCTTTATTAGCGAAAATGTATGTATTGTAATTGGCTAAGTAAATAAAAATTATTACTATTGGTAAATTAAGAATGTAGCCGGGCATATAAATATAGGCAGGGTTGACTGAATAAAATACACCATTCTCCTGCACATAGTAAGGCATATCAAGAAATAGTTTCATCTCTTCGCCACTAGACAAATCGGAGTCTGTTAATGGTGGACCCTTTAGATTAATGATAAGTCATCGCGCGCTCTGACTAGATACCGCGCTACCTGAAAGTAACAGCTCCGTGAATGCGGCATCTTAATATTGTAGTGTGTATAAGACAATTTGTAAGATGTAAGTGTGCGTGAAAAATTGTATATGCCAGGAGCTTAACTATTACCCGATTAACGGGAAAATTTATTTTATTTTATGGCTTAGTAGTTAAGTACATATTTATTCCAGAAATACTTAAAATGAATAGTTTATTAATAACGAATGTATCAATATATTTGTGTATATTATGTATAGGTTTTTCTTCTGAATAAATGACATATAAATGCTAAGGCCTCCTTTTTATCAGTTTAATTTTTTTATTTACATGTCTAACTAATATTCACAAATTATTTAAAAAAATAGTTATATATATATATATATATATGGTGTAATCAAAATAGTGCTTTCTATTTCTATTCTACGCGTCATTATGAACAACTTTTACTATAGATCTATATATTATATTTCGAAAATCGCAAGAAAAATCAGGTCTTCCATACATTTTCAGCAAGTTTGTACGAAATTTTATATGGAATAACTGACTATGAGATGGGGTTGTTATAAATTAATTTGCTTAATTCCGCGTAAAGAAAGAAAATGATGTGTTATGCCCAGTTTTAAGGAGACCTCCCACCTTCCCTCAATCGCGTGCACTATACCCGTCGCCATCAATCCCAGCACTACCGTCCCCAGTACCACCGCACTAGGCACGACACACCACTCTCGAAAATACGACACGTGTTTCGCCTCTACACGAGGCATCATCCGGTGCTGTGTTTTATGTCATTTGAGCAATACTACAGAAATAAACACTAAATAATATAGAATTAGGTTATATTATAATAAGTTAAATATATTATATTATAAAATATAGTAACAATAAATTAACAAATAAAAATCTCAGCCACGGGGAACTTTATTTTTGTATACGCGGCAACACTGAATAGCGTCATTCATATTTTGTGACTTATTTATGGCTCGTGTTATTTTATGGTAAAATTTCGAAATTGCATAATATTTACCTATTATATGTGATTCCAGTGACTTTCTTATTTCTTGTACTATTATTTTTACATAGTTTCAATACGTAAACTGGTATTTTACTTCGAATTATGATCAAAATTTAATAAAACATTCGTTACGTCTAACTCACACGTTGCCTGCAACGCGACTGGCTCGGGTATGCCGATTTTGGCGTAGTATTTGTTGCCGCATTTTACATGAGCGCTGGCGGTATCTAGTCAGAGCGTGCGATGACTTATCATTAATCTAAGGGTGGACCACATATCTCCACTATTACAACTGTAAATAGTTAAGGATTCAATTAATAAAAACTGATTAGTTTTTTACGAATTACTATTTATTTGCATTAATTAATTGATTAATTTATTAATTGTAATGCATATAAATATAATATTGACGTGCAAACTTCTATATAAATATTATATATACAATTTATAATTAATAGTTTACAAATTTAAAGATGTTTTAAAAGTAACGGCCTTTAAGGTTTCCACTGTTGGGCACCAGCCTCCTCTAATTTCAGAGACGGTTATGGAGATGTCAACCTAAACGTGTTTTCGGACTTTACTCTTCGGTTTCACAACTTGGAGGTTTAGCTCTCGCTGTGAATTTCACAGTACGCCTGTAGCCCAGGTTCGATCGCCACCAATGAAATTGTTGAAGTAATACATCGTGAAAATAGCTGCATGTCAGAGAGAGAGTAAATAAGAAATTAAAATTAAAAAAATTAAAAATAAATAGCTAGTAGAGGAATATTTATTTCTGATGAAATATAATGATTTTTTTATATTTACGCGAACACTAAACATTGAATAAAACTACTTTTAGGGATTTATCCGTAATTTTATTTTTATTTTATACCTCGGAATTTAATAAAAATAAGTTAAATAAACGCGATAAAATCCGTAAAAGCAGTTTTTTTCTTCAACCTGATCAAATATTATGTTCTATTTAAGCCCGTTTACATTGTTTCCTCATTGTTTGGTGTTCATACATACTGAAAGGATAATAATAGCAGCGTAAAGCTGATAATACTGTCTTCCGTTTGGAATTACCGATGACCGCATATGATATAATATCAGTGTGTTGTATGTATTTCTCGTTAATTGCACGACTTGTAAACAACATTCAAAATGTTTTTTAAGTGTCGTAACTTTTACGTGAAATTAATTGTGATTTTATTAACAGGTATGATTGTTTCATTATTAAAAAATAAATACTTTTTAATGTATTAATTTCATGTCGTGTAGTGATGGTGTATAACCTATAATATATATATATATATATATATATATATATATATATATATATATATATATATATATATATATATATATATATATAATGTCCACAATTTTATAGTAAATGTAATAGGAGGTAAAAAATTCTATAATTTTTTTGAGCAATGGTCTGTTCTTATTTGCGTTAATTAGCCTTCTACAGTACAGCGTAAATCCCTAAGTTCCTGTACCATTAAATCATCCGTGGAAGTACATTCAATTAATTTATTCAGTCCCTACTTAAGGGTCCTTATGTCTCAAGTTATTACGTAATTAGCTAACCTAACAACACCTTATAGTGACCGTATCAATATTAAAAATCTTTTATGTTTTAAATATATAGATTGACTTGGCAAACGCACTAAACAATCTAATTTAATATAATATTTATTACTTGTGACATATATACATTGTGTTCTGCCTTCTAATGAAGGGGGAACGAAACCTGTAATGAAAGAAAAAAAAATTGAGTACATTAAAAAACCATACCGTGTAGTGGTGGTATAATAATATCCACTACCCCATATCTTCACGTAGGTGTCGTAAGAGGCGACAGAGGGAAACAAACCAGGAGATGAGCAGCAGCGTCTTCTTAATAACAATAAAAAATAACAAAAAAGGAAACCTGCCAACTATGATAAAATCCCCCTATCAAAACCACCTAACAAAACTATGATAAAATATGAGCTAATTATAGAGGAGGTGGTATGTTCAGCATTGGACTTTTGATAGGCTAAAACAGGTACAGTAATGTATCTGTATGTATACCTAGTAACTGATAAAACCGATTTTATTTTGATATTTCCTTATGTTAATGTAATTTTTAAGATATAGTCTGAGATGATGTAGACTAAGATGTCTGCATCATCTCTAAGCCCATGGTTAATATTGTCACGGTAATGCTAGGCTATCTTTAGCTATTAAATATATAATTGTTGTACGTTCTACGCATTATCAATATCATACTCCAATGGTACGGAAATCTGACACGACTGCAGAGAGATCAGGTGCAGGACCGACGGCTTCAGGTGCTTTCCACACACGGGTGTAAAACTCCGCTAACTTACAGCCTCTGCGCTGCTTCTAAGAATTTCTTGATAGAAAAACCCAAAAAACTGATTTTGTTGAAGTTTCATTTGTATTTAATAAGAATTATGAGATTGATTATAAGTAAATATTTATAATTAATTTCCTTCATTTCGCAGAATATACTTTTGGTCAAAAATTAGATCAATTAACAGAAAAACAACGATCGCGAATAAGACCAATTTCCGAAGATGCTGAACATAAAAATGTAAGATAATTTTGTATCAAAGATTGAGAAAATATGTTTGTTATCTAACATAATAATAACAATATCATCCATACAGATATCGGCTACGACGACTAAAGCTTATGCGTCACAATGAATAGAGTTTCGGTGACAAAGAGGTTACTACTTTCTAAAAGGCCGGCAAGGCACCTATGATTCCTTTGGGCGGTGATAGTAATTTACCATCAGATGAGCTGCGTGCTCGTTTGCTAGCTCTTTTATAAAAAAAGACATGCTCTGATGTGGCTGATGTAGCCAATTTTTTCAATCATGTGCGTAAGCCGTTAAGCTAATATAATAAGCATAACGTAGACTGATAGAGTAGGCCGTAGGCCGGCTTTGTAGCTCGAAGAACGGACACCCGATGGGGAAGAAAGATTCTCGAGCGGCAGCCTCGTACCTGTAAGCGTACTAAAGGGCGGTCCGCCACTAGATAGAGAGACGACATGGTAAGAGATGCAGAAATTCAATCGATTCATGTGGCTCATGTCATGTTTTGTGGGATTCCTTAGTGGAGGCCTAGTAGTTAACTTGTGAAGGGCTGTAATGATGATGATGAAGCTGATACCATGGTTAATTCTGCAACTAATAATAATAACTTTATTTAAATCTCGTAGTATTTTATACCTATTTCTGTACTATCAACTCTTAGTAAGATTTTTGAAAAGATAAATGTAGATTAATTGATAATTTTTTTAAACAAAAATAAATTACTCCATAAAAATCAATTTAGTTTCACAAGGGATCGCTCGACGACTAACGCAGACGTTGAGCTTATGAAATATATTTTTAAGGTGTTTTTGGTGATCTTTCCAAGGCTTTTGATTGTGTTCATTTAGATATTTATCAGAAAACTATAACATTACGATGTCAAAAATATTGCGCTTAGCCTTATTATTTCATATTTAAATAACAGAACTGAAAAAGTCGTTCTCAATGGTAAAGGTTTTTTCCGGGTCAGTAGTATCAATCGGTGTTCCTCGGGGTTCGATTCTTGGTCCATTCCTGTTCTTAGCCTATATTAATGACTTACGTTATATTGTAGGGGACCATCACGATATAGTATTATTTGCTCAAACGACAGTCAATTAATTTTGACAATGTAAATAATGCTCTATCAAAATTAGTACATTGGTTTAACGCCAACAATTTGCTCTGGAACGATAATAAGACAAAATGTATTAATTAAGTTTACCATATCTAATGTTAAACATTCATATACCAATGTGGTTTTAAATGGGGAGGAGTTGAGTCTTGTGGATACCACTGTTTTTCTTGGTTTTACTATTGACGCGAAGCTTCAATGAGGCAATGAGGAACAAAACTATTGTAACGAGAAAAAGAAGATTCTGTTTTATTTTATTTTATTATACTCTACCTGCAACATTGTTATGCCAAGAATGAGGGAGTAAGAGAATCTACTATCTCATATCGTCCCGTAAGTAAAAGGCGATAGTAAAAAGTGAAACAGGAGGCAGCAGAATATTAATAATTACAACTCAAAATAATAAATAAATATTGTTATGAGTTGTAATTACTAATTTAATGCATTTTAAGGCTGTGTGTGTTGAAAAGTGATTATTTTTTGGCTTATTTCAAATGAAATATATAAGTTTAGTAAATGCATTTTGAATTTTGTGTCATATATAAGTAAGGGGAGTACAGGAGTTCACATTCCACCTGTTACACACAAGCTAGTTGCTGCCGCTCATGGACACCTACATTTATTCCTCGATATAGAAAAAAAGCGTCAAGTGCGAGTCGGACTCGCCCATAAAGGGTTCCGTAGCAGCAAGTAACATAATATAAAACTTCTTGTAATTCGTTGTAACCTTGATCGATGTTTTAATAATAGTGTATTTTTTTATTTTTATATTTGAGTTAATTGAATGAAAGGTAAATTGCCGTTTAGGATTTATGACGTATTAAAAAAAAAACTTTTTACTAGATCTCGTTGAAACCAGTTTTCGGTGGAAGTTTACATGGTAATGTACATCATATATTTTTTTTAGTTTTATCATTTTCTTATTTTAGAAGTTACGGGGGGGGGGGGGGGACACATTTTACCACTTTGGAAGTTTCTTTCGCGCAAACTATTCAGTTTAGAAAAAAAAATATATTAAAAACCTCAATATCATTTTTGAAGGCCTATCCATAGGTAACCCCACACGTATGGTTTTGAAGAAAAAAAAAATTTGAGTTTCAGTTCAAAGTATGGGGCACCCCCAAAATTTATTGTTTTTTTTTCTATTTTTGTGTGAAAACCTTAATGCGGTTCACAGAATACATCTACATACCAAGTTTCAACGGCATAGTTCTTATAGTTTCGGAAAAAAGTGGCTGTGACATACGGACGGGCAGGCAGACAGACGTGACGAATCCATAAGGTTTCCGTTTTTTGCCATTTGGGTACGGAACCCTAAAAATGCTCATGCGTTTTCATCCCTGACGACTAAGATGGGATGTCTTGTTACCCGTAAAAAAGCCTTTCTGTCTCGCCACTCACCATACAAAACACAGCAGCATTATGCTGCTGGTTTACGATGATATTCTGTGATGGTATAGAGATCCAGTATAACGACAGGTGAAATGTAAGTTCATTTGTCTCTCCATGTTTATAAAAAAAACATATTTCCCGGTCGAGATGACTCATATATGCTGCAGTGAAATACTACAGCGGGGCTACCGTTTAAAATACTTCTCAACAACTATTAACATTATAATCTAGATATCTTATGTTATTACAGCTGACTATTTTCGACAAGAATACTAAAGACTTATTCAAGATAATTCACGGAAGACCAGAAAATAAAGATCTGGAGGCTGGAAATTGCGAAAATCAAGAGCTAATTATGCCTGACTTTCGTGCACCAGGTCGTCGTATCAGTGACGTTAGTAAGTAATTGTAAAGAATATATTCCGTTAAAATAAAGTAAAAATAATCACATGGTTACATTTCTTCCTTTTATTTTTATTTTATAGAATAAGTGTGTAAAACGAACACAGAGTCCTTCTGATGGTAAGTGGACGCTGCGGATCATAGATCTTCATGCATTAATTAAGAATCAAAATGAGTTGTCGTCCTTTAGAACTAAGATGGAATGCCTCATTTCCAGTATAAAGGGTCTCCGGTTCTCTACTCTCACGATAGAAACATTCACCTCCTATTTTACGTTGCGATTTGCTTTGACTTTTTAATGCGCACAGCGGAGGAGTGGTATATTTTGCTGGCGTGTGGCTTTCGGTCCAATTACAATCTGGCTGATCCTAAGGCACGAGTGAAGTTAACTATAATAAGTTTTTGTTACGCTAAGACAATGTGATTTACCATTTAGGGCTTTATCACCACATAACTGGGACTGTTGTAAAGTACAGGTTTATAATAAGTTAAAATAAAATTAAGCACGTACTTAGGCAGCCATAATAGTTGATTGACTTTTATTGCACGAAGGACCTCTTCTTAAGTACCTGGCCGACCGAGCTTGGCTCGGCCCTAAAAGAAAGATATAATTTTATTGGGGATTACACATATCTAGAAAAACATGTAAAGTAAAATATTATCTAAGTACAAAATTTATTCTAAATCGTTAAGGCCGTTTGCGTGAAACCGAGTATACACATTAAAAAAGTTTGAGATTACTAGCAAAAGCTGATATATTTTTAAAATTTAACTTTATCGAGAGAAAGTGTTTACGATATATTTTTTTTAAATAAAATACACAGTTTCAAATTAAAAAATAAAACACTTTTTCATTTTTAATAACAAAAATTGAGTAAATCAATCCTAATGTAATTGTAACAGAAATTTGACGGAAAGAAAAAGATTGCAAACTTATACAACGATTTATTAATAGGTTTTTATTTAATACAATAAAACTCCTTCCCTGCCTCGAAAACATGCGGAGATCCTGGGCATGCTGACGATCAAGTTATTCAGCATTTCTTGTGGTAACCTGTCCCATTTTTGAATAGCGGCTTTCCTGATCTCTGGCACTGTCTGGGCTGACGGTTCCAAGCATTTCGCTTAAGAGGGATGCTCTTAAGTGAACTGCTTGGAGCGCGTGCTTAATTGGGTTTAATTCAGGGGAGTCGGCAGGCCAGTCTAACCTTGTGATGTCGTATTCTCGGAGAGCAGCATTGACTCGTTGAGCTCGAAGTGCGGCCGCATTATCATCATCATGATCGACCAGTAAAAATTGGTGCCCATGGTTTACTCAGAATGTTCTGACAATTCCATCAATAGCGACTGTTTAGTACCTATCTGCCATCATGGAGCTTCGATACAGGATCAAAGGCGTTCTAACTCCAATCATAATTCCATCCCAAAAGTACACCGATTTTTCGCCTTGCTGAACGGTTTCAGTGGCAGTTCTTTGCCTTTCGGAGTCTCCATGTCTTTTCTAGACACGGATACGTCGGTTATCTTGGTGAGTGATTCGCGATTCGTCAATGTAGAGACATTTTTGCCACATGTTTTCCTGCTCATCTTCTTCATTTTGCCGAAACCTAGCCCACTGCAATTTCCGTGGTTTCAGAGGTGCTCGCCAAAACCTCCTCGTAGTTCAGTCTGGTGTAAGCAATTTCGAATGGTTTGAGTGCTAACTCCAAGTCCAAGTTTTACTGTAGTGGCGTTGATTGTTGGATCACGGGCTGCCAACAATCTGATATAGCGTTTCTGAGCAGCAGTTATAATAAGCGATCATTGCGGGGTTGTTCAGCTAAATTATTCATGCCGTGGTACCTCTGAAATGTGGCCACGATACAGGATTGAGATACAGCAACTCTGCGTACTATTTCTCTGTCTTCTGAGGATTAAGCTAGACTAGATTTAGTCGCCCAAATCCGAGAATTTGTTCAGCAAACACTAGACTTCATACACAAGTTTGTCCCGGTACTTGGCGACGTTTTCCCGACAAATATTGGCACATCCGGTGTATAAAGCATCACCAGTGCTGTCACCCGCATAGCAATGAATGTTACCGGTTTGAAACATATAATTGATATGCAGAAGAAACAGTGTCATATTATCGTATAAGTGCAATATATTTATGATGCAGGCATTTTAAGAACGTAAAATTGCTTGAATATGACCTGTCGAGAATAAAGCCTAATAACGTTTCTCGTTATGAGGCGTGCAATACATATTTTATTTTGATTACTCAAAAATTTATTAAATGGTTTTAACTGTATATTTAAAAACATGATTTTCTGTAAGAAAACTATAATAAAGTATTTCTCGACCGAAGCTAGTACGCATAGCACCATAAAAATCTACATAACTCCGCAAACAACATTTTATTAGCCTTTACTAATTTATTTTTAACAGCTGTTAGGCCGCGTGGGCGAGAAAACTAAAGAACAAAACACAAAAAATAGAAAAGTTAATAACATTGCAGGGTTAAAATTGTGGAGAAATATGCATGTCATTTTTTTTATAGAATAAGGGTGACAAACGAGCACGCAGTCCATCTTAAATGGTAAGTGGATGCCGTGGGCCATAGATATCTGCATCAATCCACGAAAAGAATCAAAATTCAGATGTATATTATGGTATATTAGGGTGTTGCCCCTGAAACCTAAGATGGAATACCCTCTTTTCCAGTAAAATGATCTCCGGTTCTCTACACTCATCGTAGATACACAGCAACATTAAGTTGTTATTTTTTCTTGGCATTTTGTGAGAGCGTGTTCCTTCTCCGGTCGACCCGACCGCCTTGTTGCATCCATAATATAGTTGCAGCATGTCTGTACACGTAAAAATATAACTAGTTTTATTTGATATAGATCATAAATAATACTTACTAAAAGTTAGACAGATAAGATAGTCAATACTTGTTTGAACATTTTTTCAGAATGCTTGGAAAACTTATGGAAAATACGTTTTTACGACGAAGCTCTAATAAAAATGGTGTTGTGTAAGTTTTTGTTTAATTTTAATGTTTATTGTTGTTTAACGTATGAATCAAAGTTATTTAAATTGTTTTAGGCGGAAAACCCTACGATACTATACAACTTAATGAACACTTTGGAAGATATGATGCTGCACTTGGAGAATTTCCTCATATGGTATAAAGTTATGAAATATTGTGCGAGACCTTTTGATATTCCAAAACTTAGTCGTTTATATTTTCTGAAAATTAAATTTTTATTACTTTTTATTAAATTCGTTTAAATGTATATATGATTGTAAGAGCGTCAACAACAGCGGTTAATTTCGAATTGAAATTTAATGTTCTGACGTTACTGTTATGCGTACAGTGGAAACGTACATTCGGCTGCCAGAGGTCACTGCTAGTTTCTACAGAACTATGTTTAGAGTGTTCTACGAACATCAAAATGCCGTCAGCCTTGAAATCACCGCGAAGTCGCGTCGTTAGATACTGCCCGTAGAGTCATCAGAGACCGCTGACGCCGTCTGAATGGCCCTGCCCATTTGGGCGAACTTTGAGAAAACACGCTGAAGGATGATGATGTCCGGATCATTGCCACTCGGGAGACATCGTTCTTTCCTGAGAAAAGTCGAATTATGCGACTCAAATGTCCACTTGAGAGCAGATAGTTTTTCTTCTTTGACGATCATCATAGTATATTCGCAAAAAATTCAATTTATTTGTGAAATTAGAACGTTAACAAATATATATTATACTATATCATATTCATCATCATCATCATCATTACAGCCCTTCACAAGTCCACTGCTGAACATAGGCCTCCCCCAAAGAATGCGACAAAGCACGGTCCTGAGCCACCTGCATCCATCGACTTCCTGCATGTCTTACCAGGTCGTCACTCCATCTCGTGGGGGGACGCCCTACACTTCGCCTAACGGTACGAGGCTGCCACTCGAGAACCTTTCTTCCCCATCGGTTGTCGGTTCTTCGAGCTATATGGCCGGCCCACTGCCACTTCAGCTTACTAATCCGTTGAGCTATGTCGGTTACTCTAGTTCTACTGCGCATATCCTCATTTCTAAGTTTATCACGCAGAGAAACTCCGAGTATAGCCCTCTCCATAGCTCGCTGAGCGACCTTGAGCTTCCTCATACGGCCAGTAGTGAAGGACCACGTCTCAGTTCCGTAAGTCATCACTGGCAACACGCACTGGTTGTACAATTTCGTTTTCAGGTTTTGAAGTATATCATATTAGGAAAACAATATTATTGTAGTTTTTGATTTATAAGAGAAAAGGTTTAATGAGTCTCATTTGTTTTCTTTAGGTTTTTAAAGAAGTCAGTTCAGGACTATTGCATGTTAAATTAATATTAAATTAAACTAATTTTACGGATTTTATAGCGTTTATTTTTCAACTCGTGACGTTGGGCGGTGGATTTTGGTGTTTGACATCCCGAAATCATAGTTACCACGGCTACATTTGTTTTTTGAATATTAATTTTTGGTCTGATCTACGCAGTACGAGATAACAGTATCTTGAACTCTTGCAGTGGTATGCTTAGGTTTCGATTTAGCTTTAGTAATTATATAGGATCCCAAACAGATGGTAGCACCCATCCTTCTCCTCTATTGAAATTAGGATGATTACAATAGTCTTGCTAATCATTCTTGGTAGGAATCGGTGTTCTTTTGCGAAGGTTTGTGGTCTATCAAATCTGATGTAATGGCGGGGATAATTATCACGACGACGACAACAGCATTATTATTTAACAGGATGGCGATGAAACGTCCGGAATTAAAAAGTTAAAATTAAACGCGATAAAATCTGTAAATGAATGTCATTTATTGTGTAGTGTTCGCGTAAATATAAGAAATCATTGTGTTATATAAATATTTTAAGAAAGAAAACAAAAAATTTCGTCTCATTCGCATAAATGGGAAAGAGACGAAATATAGCAAAATACTATGATGTCATATTCTGTAATATTGTCTTCATAAGAAAAACGATTGTTTCTTACAAGTTTGACGATACTATGGTATCCTTTAAAGCTAAATTTTAATATTATATAGAACACCAATATATCTAGAATGTTATTTAAAATATACAATGTTAATGCTGTATCTATAATATTGAAGTTTTAGATCGATTTTTGGCGAAATTATGACTAAATATCCAGACAGATATCTTAATATTTACTTTACTGATATTCATTGCATGTAAGCTCATAGATCGTTTTTGAATGTAAAACTAGCGGCGAAATGCTTGACTTTTTATTTTTTTATGTATAATAAAATATTTATTGAACTTTTTACTAGAGGAAAATTTAAGATATCTCCTCAAATCAGGTATGTTTTTAACACACTAAAATGTCTCACAGGGCGCTATTGGTTGGGAAACAACAGACGGTTCGTGGCTATTCAGGTGTGAAGGAGCATTGATCAGCGAAAAATTCATGATAACCGCAGCGCATTGCTCACGATTGACTATCCCTGATGTGAGGGTCGTCGATCCTCTGCCGAAAATTGTCCGATTTGGAGAACCGAATATTTCTGACAAGGTTTGAAGAACTATGAAAAAAACTAATCGTTTTTAGATCAGAGTATACACAGCCGATCGTACATAGGTATCTCTGTAACGAGTTTACAGTAATACACCTGTTGTACATGATCATCATCATCATTACAGCTCTTCACAAGTCCACTGCTGAACATAGGCCTCCCCCAAGGAATGCCACAAAGCGCGGTCCTGAGCCACCTGCATCCATCGACTTCCTGCATGTCTCACCAGGTCGTCACTCCATCTCGTGGGGGGTCGCCCTACACTTTGCCTACCGGTACGAGGCTGCCACTCTAGAACCTTTCTTCCCTATCGGTTATCGGTTCTTCGAGCTATATTTTTTTTTTTTATTGGATCGGGTGACAAACGAGCACACAGTCCACCTGATGGTAAGTGGTTACTGTAACCCATAGACATCTACATCTATCCTCAATAAAGACTCAAGATGCAGATGCGTTGTCACCCGTGAAGACTAAGATGGAATGCCTCTTTGCCAGTAAAAAGGGTCTCCGGTTCTCTACACTCACCATACGAAACACAGCAGCGTTAAGCTGCTATTTTACGCTGGTTTTCTGTGAGAGCGTGGTCCTTCCCCGGTCGAGCAAACCCATTCGTGCTACAACCATAATATAGCTGCAGCATGGCTCTACCACGTTGATATGGCCGGCCCACTGCCACTTCAGCTTACTAATCCGTTGGGCTATGTCGGTTACTCTGGTTCTACTGCGGATATCCTCATTTCTAAGTTTATCACGCAGAGAAATCCCGAGCATAGCCCTCTCCATAGCTCGCTGAGCGACCTTGAGCTTGATACGGCCAGCAGTTGTACATACATCATATAAACTTGTGAGTAACCTAAACGTGTAAAGGCGTAGTAAGAATATCTACTATTACATATTGTTCCGTGGGTGTTTTAACAGGTGACAGAGGGAGACTGAAATAGTAGATGGTTCTTCTGGCATCTTCCTGATATCAACTCAAGATTATAAAAAAGCGCGGTTGCCAAACCGCTTGCTTACCGCGACTACTATGGCAAAATTCCCCTTATGCGACAATCTAAGGAGGAGGCCTTTATTCTGACGAGCACTCTGATAGGCTGAAATGGATGAAGTATATCTGTTACTAGGATCACTAATCCACCTACCAAGCTTTCTGTTAATTACAGAATTAACTATGGTCGTGAAGATTCCGCTGCGTCACTACAATTTGTTTGGTGGACGTTTATTTTTGTTTAATTTCATAGACAAGCAGGTTTACCCTACATTTACTTCACTACCACAAAGCATGGGGTTAATTATCATTTAATATTGCCATCAACAGATTCATTGGTGTCAGCGGGGATCAAGTTCAACTTACATCTTGTTGAAATAATGATTTATGCTTACATTTTTTTTCATTAATCCATATTTATTTTATACGTTTGAACAAAGTGGTGTTTTTTATTGATGGGTGTTTTGGGACAAGGAAGATCAGAGTGTTCGTGCTGCCTCGAATGTGTGTTGGCGGTATTCATGTTTATGTAATTGAATCAAAGAATTCTATGTTTACAACGTGGTAGAGTTATGCTGCAGTTATATTAGTAGTATAGTTGTAGCACGAATGGGTTGACTTGACCGGGGAAGAACCACGCTCTGACAGAATACCAGCGTAAAGTAGCAGCTTAACAGTGCTGTGTTTCGTATGGTAAGTGTAGAGAACCGGATACCCTTTTTACTGGAAACGAGGCATTCTATTTTAGTCCTCACGGGTGACGACGCATCTGCATTTTGATTGGTAATCGAGGATAGATGTCTATGGGCCGCAGCAACCACTTATCATCAGCTGGACTGTGTGCTCGTTTGTCACCTTATCCTTTAAAAAATAAATATTACCAGACTAGCAATGCAGAACAAAACTGCGGGTCATCCACGCGATCCACAGGTTTTGTACATAGTTATAGGTAACTGCCACAGTAAATATGCCACGCTGTTGTATTTTAATTTATAACAGCTTTTAAGCAAATACGAAATAAAATTGCATACTTATTTCGAAATAAACTGAAAACGTTTTTTTTATAGGAGAGGGGGCAAACGAGCATGCGGCTCACCTGATGGTAAGTGACTACCGCCGCCCATGAACAGCTGCAACACCAGGGAGGGAATCGCAGATGCGTTGCCGGCCTTTTTCGGGACTACGCCTTGGGAGTAGGAGTACCGGAAATGACGAGTTAGGACCGGTGCCAACTCCGGAGCACACGTCCTCAGCACAATTGGGGGGATTCCGTCAGGCCTACTCGACTTCTGGATGTCCAGGGAGAGGAGTGCTTTGCGAACCGAGCGCATCACATCCGGCATGGAGCACTGACACCGCGGGATGGTCGGCGATGTTTCCCCCCGTCATCAAGAGTCGAGTTGGACGCAAAAAGTTACGTCTTGGGCCAGTGAGTCGTCCTCCCTGTGCAGAGATGGTAGTGATGGCTAACAGAAATTCCCTTGGACAGCCTTGGCTAGAGACTAGAATGCACGGGTTCCCAAAGGAAGATAAACTAGTTTCTCGCCATTTCTGCCTATGTGCTCTGACTTTGCCTTGGCAATAACTCTTTTGAAGGACCTGGAGGGGAAGTTATACTTCTTTTTAAGTGTACTGGTGTTTACATCCCGAGTCGCCGAAGCCGCAGCCCAGGCTCGATAACACTCCTGCTTACTGCGTAATGCAGTCTTACATAAGCGACCAAACCAAGGCTGAGATCTGCCTCCGATGGGTACCACAGATGATTGAATAAATAGTTCCATTACCTGTAGCACCACATCAGTGACAGTGTCAGCAACAGCGCTGGGATCATCCGGCGAGAAGCAAACCCGTCCCCATGGGTAGGAAGCAAAGAAAGACCGCATTCCGTCCCAATCCGCCGACCTGTAATGCCAAACACGACGGCAACCTGCAGAACACAACCGCGAGGGGAGCGTGAGTGGCACCGCACTCCGGATCAGACGATGGTCCGAAGAGCCGAGAGGGGCATCGACGGAAACCTGATATCCGTCCGGATGAGAGGTCAGCAGAAGTTTCAACAGGGAAGGTGTATGATCCTCCACATCAGGAATCCGCGTAGGTGAAGTAACCAGTTGTGTAAGACCATATGCCAAAGCAAAGTCATAAACAGATCTCCCCGCATGATCGGTTAAACCTGAACCGAGCCATTCGGTGTGGTGGGCGTTAAAATCGCCAAGGATCACGATCTCTGCGGATGGGACCTGTTGTAGCAAAGAACCTGTAGCCATTTGGACGTGGTGAATGAGTCGGTCTGTTTCGGAATTACCGCTATGGGACCTATAGAGGCACCCGTAGACGCGCGGATGGTCGTCGCTGTCTACGCGTAGCCATAGGATGGACAGCTCCGAACCTTCAAGACTGCCGAGGCGTCGAAAACAGATGTCCTCTCTGATATAAACGCAAACTCCAGCCCGAGGCACAAAGGAGTGCTGAGAGGAAACCTGCGTCTCGGTCAGAAAGAGCAAGGCCGGCTTCGCCGTCTCGAGATGGTAGTGGACGGCGTTTAGATTCGAGTGAAGTCCCCTGATGTTGCAGAAATTCACGGATAGCGTGGCTTTGGTCTTGTTGCTCAGTTTGCCCCGAGCAGTTATCTTTTTGAGCGGAATTTTGGAGTTTTTTTTTAATTATGGAGAATTGACCGTAACTTAGTGCGCAAAGTATTCTTACTCTAGTCCCTCTATTAGTTAACATAGAAGTCTTTGGCTTGAATATTTGAATTTGCCAAACATGCAGGCTTCCTTAAGATGTTTTCTTACCACTGAGCTACGAATTCGAAAATCAAAATTTATTCCAAAATATCTTAAATGTTGCTTGGCTAAGTTCGAACTTGGTTTGCTCACAAGGATGAGCAATTTCTTAGCAAGTACTTCTTACTAATAACTTTAATGGTTACTTCTTATCACCCACGGTTTTAAAAATGTCGTTTTGTTTTTGCATTATTTAAGTAAGGATTTCAAAAATCGTCAAGCCTTGCCATAATCGAGTCTTTCAGGCAAAAAAGTTTTTATTATTTTATACTATCCTAAGTGTTTTAATGAGAATCTCTTGCAAAGTTCAATATCTTTATTTACAGGAAGCAATAGATAAGGCACCCGAGGACGTTTTTATACATAGACTTATAATCCATCCTAACCATCGTTTTTTCGAGAAATATTACGATATTGCTATAGTTGAATTGCAGAAGTCTATAACTTTTTCAATCAAAGTTCATCCCTCATGTATTTGGACTGATCTATTTCCCGTAGCAGGAGACGCTAAGCTAACTGGATGGAACGTTATAAAATCAAGTAAGTCGTAAAGTTTTATTTTGGAATACCTTAAATTAGATTCAAAAAGTTATTTTCTAAACACACGGAGGTGTGTCCTTTTCTATTACAAAATTTGCTTGTAAAAGAAAAGGACCGCAAATATGAACCTTTCCGAAACCCCATAGCATTGTAATTTTGTACCTGGAATAATAACTCCTTGATGAATTGTCATTACTATTTTGATAATAACCTACGTACCCAATGATATCTTTACAGCCTATCAAAAGTCCACTGTTGAATATAGGTCTCCGCCATATGTTGCCTCATATGGAGAATATTTGCCATAGTTGCCATAGTTGCCACGTTTGAAAAGCAGTTTTTTTCAGCTGTTATCAGGAAGATACTGCCCATTTCCTGGTACAGTTTTCCTCTATCACCTCTTACGACACCCACGGAATGATATTGGGAAGTGGATATATTTACACCGCCACTACACGGTTAACCCCAAATTTTATGATTATTTGTTAAAGCTAGTAAGGTCTAAAAAGTTGTTTCTTTTTTGTCACTCACTGTTTTTCTGATTGACTGATTGACCGACTCATTCATTGAAAACTAAGACCACTTCTAGATGACTCAGAAAATTGACAATGGACCAACGCAGATTATTAGATGTATAAAAAGAAAGACATGAAAACTATAAATTATACCTATTAAATTAGTACCTACGGTATAAATGAAAATAGAACATATAAAAGCGTAAAGACAAGTAAGAACGTTGAGGATCATGTTGTATTTATTAAAACTATTTTTGAGAACTGCAACACTTAGCAACTGTTATGAAACTTGATACCAGTTCAGATCATAACTCTTTTAATATGGGTGAAGCCGAAAACCTCGAAGGTTGTTTGTGCCGTATTTGACCCACTTTTCAAATTACACACTAATTTTAGGTCAGTTAGGGTAAGAGGAACATAGTTTATTTTGAGCCTGAGGTTTTGAGCTCAAGAAAGAACATATAATGTTTTACGAGAATTTTGAGATACATTAAACTTGCCTTAGTTTATCAGCTTTTCATGTTTTAAGAATCATAACGCTAATTTGAAAACTTACGACAGTATCGGCCAAAACATTCAACTTGTACTAACGTTCCTCTTCCCCCTCATCTGGGGTAAGAGGAACATTCATCGTATATCCTAAGATTGTAATGTTTATTTAAATGTACCTGTTGCTACATTTTAAGCAAAATTTATTTAATAGAATTTGATCGTAACGTAATTGTTACAAGGTACAGTTTTGAAGAAAAATAAAATAATAAATTTAAGGTCACAGAAACATATATTTATAAACAAAGGTTCAGGTCAGGGGTGACAAACTAAAAAAATAATCGTTTGTATTTCAAATTATAATTTTATTCTTACTCCTAATCGGCCTCGTACAATTCAATAAACTTCAATAAAAAGTTTAAATTTCAATGGCGTTTTGTAAGTTTTGTAGAACCTTATTTCATAAGTTACGACACTGCAACTAGATTGTGGAGATATTTTATTAGTTATATAGCCAATATAATATGTCCATTTGTTTCTCGTGTAGTACCTGACCATCACATTGTTACTAATTGCACAATTTATTTCCTTACGTCCTTCCTTCTCTATTTTCTCATCCCAGTTGCTATGAACCTCTTCTGCTACCATTTTCCTTCCTTCTGATTCACTAACTACATCTGTTGCCTTTTTTCTTCCATCTGTTATATTACTAACTAGCTGTTCCCCGCAACATGACCCGCGTGCAATTTAGGGTTTTAATTTTTTCGCAAGGAACCCTAATTATTATTCTAATAATAAAAGTAGTCTAAGTTACTCCTTGTAACATCTGCTATATGCCAGTGAATGTCCCTCCAAAATCAATCCAGCTGTTTCGGAGATTAGCCTGAACAAACAGACAGACAGACAGACAGATAGACAGACAAAAATTTAAAAAAGTGTATTTTTGTTATAAGTACCGTTTATACTTTGCATAATTTAGTAAAACGCTGTAATTGTGACATTACAAATAGATACTTCAATTTTATTTATTTGTAAGATAACTGACTCTGCCTCTATTGTCCTTATTTCTGATCCACTAAGTCTCTGTTGCTTCGATTTTTTTCATCTGTAATGTTATTATTTTCAAGGTTTGGAATAAAGTTTATGTAATCTAAATCTCTAATAATGTCAAAGTCTTCCTTAAGAAGGTCTGAGTCCTCATTAATCAAGTCTACAATATCAGAATCATCATGCAAGCTCACGCAATCGGATACGCTGGTAGATGAAGATCTTTTTCTGTATTTTTTCTTTGCAGGAAATTTCACATTCTTTATATTTTCCTTCAAACTTACTTGACTTTTTTTCCAGTGCCTTTACCCTTTTTAGAATTTATAATTGACATTTTATTATTTTTGTTTATTACCGATTCAAACTTGTTTACTAAAATTATATTTTGTCTTTGTTATTTGAAACTATTAATACATCATAATGTTTATCACCCCTGATATCGGCGAAGAGGAACATACTGTTTCTCTTACCCTGTAAGTACCGTTTCTCTTACCCCAACAATGTTTTTGGAGGTAACGATTTTAAATTCGATGAAACTTATATTTTTTGTAGGGTTTAATCTAAGATATGAAACAAAAGGTAAAGCTTACCCTTTTGTCTTACAATTTTTTCATTGAAATGATCTCTAACAGTAAAATTTTCACAATTTTAGCGCGAATTAAAGTTATGTAGCCAACTCGTGTTCTTAGACTTTATAACTGTCAAATTGTTTTTCTTTTTTTTTCGACTTTGGAACATCGTAGCGACATCTTTTACAAGCCGTTTTTTTTTTACTACACTTATTTATCTACTAATATACCATACAGCTAAACTCTATAGTTTATGAGTTATGGTGTTGAGTTCCTCTTTCACCGGTGTTCCTCTTACCCTAATTGACCCCTATTTGTCCTTACGATTTGAATACCTTGCACTCCTGGTTAGTATTAAAATGGCAAAGCTCTCGAAAAGTCGGGTGTTAAAAGAGAGCTAAATTTTACCATGTTTTTATTAAGTCACTTTCTTGTATGTCTGTCGTTCCGGGTGGAATTTAGTAATTGATTTTTAACTTACTTCTCGATGAGCTGGCAACTTGAAATTTTGATTATAGCTCGAATTCGGATGCAAATGCAAGAATATGAAAAAAAAAAACGTGGTAAAAGTAAATATATATATACACTTACATATAAAAATATATAAACACTTTTTATACAATAACATCTGTGAAGTAAATTTTATTCAAATGGCTCACGAATTTTCGCTTAGAAAAACACACTGAAGCAGTGCAGCGGATTAATTGCCTTATTAGAAATGACTTATGTAAAGACGTTTCTATGAGCACTTACAATATTGTAACGATATATCTACGAGTATTTACAATATTGTCAAAACGTAATCGACGAGTATTTACAATATTGTCAAAACGTAATCGACGAGTATTTACAATATAAAAAGTGAAGTCTTCTAAATGCTTCACCTTTTTACTAAGATTGAAATTTCCAAACATCAGAAATTAATTTTAAATAGATATAACATTATCGATGAACCGTGTAATATTGGCGTATGTATCCATCACCCCGACTTTGTCCTTCGGTGTTTTAAGAGACGATTATGGGATGTGGAGAAAAGTTTTATGGTTTCCGAAATATTTTAGTTATTTATTTATTTACGCAAATGTGCCATCTATCCTTACCGGTCGAACCAAATCCAATAATGTCCTCTCTTATACTAATAATTATAAAAAAATATATGTAGCTAAATAACAGCTTAATGCTGCTGTGTTTCGTATGGTGAGTGTAGAGAACCGGAGACCTATTTTAGTTGAAAGAGGCATTCTATCTTAGTGACAACGCATCTGCATTTTGATTCGCAACCGAAGATAGATGTAGATGTCTATGGGCCACAGCAACCACTTACCATCAGGTGGACTGTGTGCTCGTTTGTCACCCCAATTCTATAAAAAAAAAGCTAAACAAATTTATATTAAAAAACTAACATCATTAAAAATATCCTTATAGTAACGTACAATATATAATATGACCATTGCTAATTCACTATAGTGGCAACTAAATATGTCAATTTTAACATGCACATGGTTGACCATGTAGAGTGCTCGAGTTAGAGGCGTTTTTGGAAGGAGATTAGTGTGTGCTGAAGGCAAGGCGAACAGTGGCGGTCGCTTCCGTCTCGTCACGTCAGCTGCGCAGCAGTATGGCACACAGTGACTCAAGTGCTAAGATGGTGATATTCCATTGTCAGACGTATAATACCCAGTTAGGTGACGGGAACCAGCGTCGTGGGTGCGAGATGTCTGATACTGCGATCGTTATTCCGCTGTCAAACGTGATGATAAGGCAAGTCTACCGTACAATGGAAGAGGTCGGCAGAAGTGGACTTCTATGGGTTGATGATGACGATGAAGAAGAAGATAATATTATTGATAGACTAGCTGTTCCCCGCGACTTCACCCGCGTGTTATTTGGGGTTTTAATTTTGTTTTTCGCGGAACCATGATTCTTTTTCAAAAAAAAAGTAGCCTAAATTACTCCTTGTGACATCAGCTATCTGCCGTTATATTAGATATCTGCAGTCTATAGCCGTTTTAGAGATTAGCTGGAACAAACAGACAGACTGACGGATAGACCGACAGACAGACAAAAACTTTAAAAATTGTATTTTTATTATTAATACCGTATATATTTTCACATGTTCAATTAATACGTGGTAGAGCCATGCTGCAGCTATATTACGAGAATAGTATAGTTGTAGCACGAATGGGTCGGCTCGGCCAGGGAAGGACTACGCTCTCACAGAATACCAGTGTAAAATAGCAGCTTAATGCTGCTGTGTTTTGTATGGTGAGTGTAGAGAACCGGAGACCCATTTTACTGGAAAAGAGGCATTCTATCTTAGTCCTCACGGAGATAGATGTAGATGTCTATGAGCCACAGTAACCACTTACCACCAGGTGGACTGTGTGCTCGTTTGTCACCCTTATTCTATAAAAAAAATGCATTTAGTAAAAAGCTGTAATTTTGCCATTACAAACAGACACTTCAATTTTATTGATTTATATAGATGATTATGATTCTCGAATATGAAATGTTGATAAGGAAATTTAGTGCAGGTGATTGATATGCCACCCGAATCACCGGAGTTTCAATCTATAAAAATAAATAATGAAAATTTTGCGTGACAAAAATCATGTACCTTTCGTATATGAGTTTAAAATTTGAAGAAAGATAATATTTAGCTACCTTACGTCCGAAATATTGTGCATATTTCTTAATATTATAATTTTAACTTTGATCTTGTGTATTTATTAGATAAAACAGTTTCCAAAAAGGAATACAATATTGATATGTTCGATGTTTTTACTCGGCTAAAATTGATACAAATGGCTACTCAACAGGAAACAAATGGAAGTAAGTGTTTTTAAAAAAAATATTTCATACTCCATTATATTTTTTAAATTTTTTATGCGTATTCTTAAATATGAACATTTATTCAGTAAGACGAATAAACCGGTTGTATATTTTAAATTTTTATACTAGCGATGCTGCAGCAGCATTACTGCTATGTTTTTATGGTGAGTATAGAGAACTGGAGATCCTTTTTACTTTAAACCAGGTATTCTATTATAGTTCAATAGGTAACAACGCATCTACGTACATTTTGATTTTTAATAGAGGATGATTGTAGGTGTCTATGGGCTACAGCATCTACTTACCATCAGTTGAAATAATTCTATGAATAATAAGGTTGTAAAGAGTCTAGAAAACCAGATACCCCTTTCACTCGATACAATTCATTCCATCTTAGTCCTCAGGGGTGATAACGCATCTTCATTTTCATTCCTAATCGAGGATAGATGTAGATGTCTATGGGCTATGTCATCCCGTTATTATGTTTTCGATTTGAATTCTTTTTAGATGAAAGCCTCAATAGTCCTGTGATGCAACTTGAGAAAGTCAATATTTTAAATATAAAGGAATGCGAAAAATTGACTCGAAGCAAAATGGATAAAAGTTGGAAAGGTTTACTATTCCATCAAATGTGCGCTGAACGTTCGGTGAATGTCAACAACACTTGCCAAGTGAGTTATCCTATTAATTTTTTTTAATAGTTAGAATTTTTTACTTTAAAGGTCACCATTAACATTTTTGCTGTAATGTCATATGTCTGTGATGTCAAGTTTGACGACTCAGTAGCACAGTACGTAGCTAAGCAAACTGCGGTTTTAATTCCGCACGGAGTATCTTTTGCATGACATATAAATAATTTATACTGATCTATATGTTTATCCATTATCAATTTGTGAATGTGCAATGCCTCTTAGATATACCAGAGATATCTAGTGTGTAGGTCACTTTTTTAAATAAGGGAAAAGAGAGATATTATACAACGAGATGACAAATAAATATCTAGTAACTTTCTTTTAACAGTCTATCTAAGGTATACATACACACATACACACACATATATATATATATATATATATATATATATATATATATATATATATATATATATAATATTTATATATATAATGCTAGTAAGTTTAGATTTTTCAGATGTCCGGTTTTCTCAGGGGACAAAATTAGCTGTTAAAAATAATATTAGATCAATCACCACTAACATGTTTTGCAATTTAATGTAAGTTCTAATTGTCTGTAAATCCCTGACCCTGCATGCAGATTTTTTTTTATAGGAGAGGGAGCAAACAAGCATGCGCCTCACCTGATGGTAAGTGACTACCGCCGCCCATGAACAACTGCAACACCAGGGAGGGAATTGCAGATGCGTTGCCGGCCTATTAAAAAGGAGTACGCTCTTTTCTTGAAGGTCCCTAAGTCGTATCGGTCCGGAAAAATCGCTGATGGTAATCGATTCCACAAGGAGGTCGTGCGAGGAAGAAAACATCTTCTAAATCGCACAGTGGTGGACCGCCAATCATCCAGATGGTGTGGATGGTATCGGGAGTTCTGCCGCGATGTGCGTTCGTGAAATTTGGCGGCTGGGATTAATCCGAACAATTCCTCAGAGCACTCCCTTGTCAAATCTGAGAGCAATATGTAGCAGTTGAATCGACGTGATCGTCATGTGCATGTTAGCAGACTTTTAGGAAATGTTTAAATTTTTAGAAACGCAGGCAGGTCTAACTTGGTTGAGCCATGGTGAAGCTATATTATGATTGTAGCATAAATGGCTCGGCTCGACCACTACGCTCTCGAAGAATACCAGGGTAAAAAAGCAGCTTAATGCTGCTGTGTTTCGTATAATGAATGTAGAGATCCGGAGACTCTTTTTACTGGAAAAGCGGCATTCATATAAGTTCTCAGGGGTGACAACGCATCTCCATTTTGATACTTAATCGAGGATAAATGTAGATGTCTATGGGCCGCAGTATCCACTTACAATCTGGTAGACTGTGTACTAGTTTGTCACTCTCATTCCATAAAAGAAGGTAATCTCACGATTTTTTCTTTTATTCTCGAGCACATAATACACACACATACACAAGTAAATTAGTACTAAAATTGTACTCAACAGTTTCAGTGGTACTGCTATGAACTTCGTTCGTTAACGTAGGTACTAAGATATTTATGGAGAGTGGTTAGTCCGCTGAGGTACTTTGGCTTTTTAATTAAATAACCCATAAAGATTATATTTTAACTCTTTAAAATTCAACGAATCATTTTATTTCAGATGGATATTGGCGGCGTATTACAGGCACCAATTGACATTCCAGAATACACGGATTGGAAAATTCATTACATTATTGGTGTGAGGTCTTTCACATTTGGTTGTAATCTTTCCAAGACGCTTGATGTTTATACAAAATTGTCAACATTTGTTGATTGGATAGAGAACGTTGTATGGGGAACGGAATCTTAAGAAGAGATTAGTAAGTAGGTCGAAGTATGAGAGAAAAAGCGACGAAATGGAGTAGTTTTGGTAGCTTTTCCCATGACATCTTACTCCTGTTTTTAAATATAATGAAAATATTATTTAGTATATTTGCTTATTAATTAATACAATAAAGGTAATTAATAATAGTAAATTAATTAATATTATTACGTGAACGTGAAATTAATTTTAAAAGTTATTAAAGTTTATTTTATTTCTAATTTTAACTTTCAATGTGTTCTACACGATACTACCAAACGCCTTGACTTTAGTTATTGCTGATACGGCCTTTGTCGTAGTTAACAATTAGAGATGATACGAATATCCAGCAACTATCTGGTATTCAGCCTATCCGGTATTCAGCCTATCCGGCCTAAATTACTATCCGGCCGGATACTGTATATAAGAAATACCAAATAATAAAATTTTGTTAAGTACTTTATTTATGTCACTTAACAAACATAATCAGTAATCACAAAATTTTCATATTTAACCTTAGGAAATTAGTGCCCGTAAGGCCAATTTCTTTGTATTCAAAGGTGACAAGCGATTTCGCCTGTCTTCATATTTGTATATGAGGCCAGCTTGAGAAAAAAGTCTTTCGCTGTTTCGCTGTACACACTGCTGCAGGATGCTTAAAGAAAGATTTTGTCGAAGTTTAATAAATTTGGGAATTGTGTAGCATTAGCTGTCCAGCAAATATAAGAGTCACGCGAGCAATTCGCACTGACTTCAGATAAAAATCAATCTAACGTGTAAATTAGATACATAAAAATTTCGTTTCTATCTCCATGGTGAGACTGCCTAGTATTGTTTCCATTGGCTACTTCAGGAAAGCAATCGCAGAACATGTAATGAGCTTCGCGAGATACAGCTGACTCTGTCTTCTTTTCTCTACATTTTTAAGCCGGTGTTGAAGATGAACTGCTACTGGAGGACTCTTCGCAAGACATTTTTAAGTATTCCAATAAAATTTCCTGGTGAGCTCTTTCACTTTCAACCACTCCCAAGTAGCTTATTTTGAATCTCGGGTCTGGGTAAGTAGTAATCAAGTGGTTAGAGTGTTGACTTAAGGAGTTTTTATTTCTTTTTTTTTTAAAAACATCACCCACACACTAGGATTTTCTTCTGTGTCGTGGAGGCAGTTTACAAACATAGATTGCACAAGGACAAACATCCAGACCCGGAACAATTATTTGTAGGCCATATAAATACTTGTTCCGTGCGGGATTCGAACCCGCGGCCCCCCAACGCAACAATTGATTGCTAAGCCACTGCGCCACGGAGCCGATGAAATTGAAGGTTGTTTTTAAAGCAGCAACGTGTGGTATTACTTCCGACACGTAGGATAGACCAGAACCTGTTAAGTTTTTTTTATAGGATAGGGTGACAAACGAGCACACAGTCCACCTGATGGTAAGTGGTTACTGTGACCCATAGATATCTATATCTATCCTCAATAAAGACTCAAGATGCAGATGCGTTGTTACCCGTGAGGACTAAGATGGAAAGCCTCTTTGCCAGTAAAAAGGGTATCCGGTTCTCTACACTCACCATACGAAACACAGCAGCGGCTATTTTACGCTGGTTTTCTGTGAGAGTGTGGTCCTTCCCCGGTCGAGCCAACCCATTCGTGCTTCAACTATACTACTAATATAGCTACAGCATGGCTCTACCACGTAAAAAGTAGGTTATTTCTTTAAAAGGTTTCAATAAATTGATGCATTGCTCCATCAAACTCCACTGTTGAGCCGTCAATTTGGTGAGTGTATTATGATCAGTAACAAATAATGACATGGCTGGGTGATTGTTAGTAACTATCATCAGCACACCATCACCACCAGCAATTTTAAGCAACTAGAATCCCCTAGTTCTAATTGGTTTAAATATCTGGTGATTTCAAAAGTAAAAATTAAATTACTATGAATTTCTTTTTTCGTCTTTTCCAGTAAAATGGGTTTCCGGTTCTCTGGACTCACCATTGAAACGCAACGAAATACAGCAAGTGTCAAGCTGCCATTTTCCGCTAGTATTTTACGCTCTATAGCTTTATATCAAATTAGGTGATTGTGTTAAGTGTACCACGCACTAACTAGGTTTACACGGTTTAGCGCACAGCCCACAGGCTCATCTACCTAGTATCTCTTATACTAGTCTACTTTTAGCAGGCGAAATAAAAAAAGAATAGCTTACAATCATTTATCAAGTTGACGGCTCCGTGGCGCAGTGGCTTAGCAATGACTTGTTGCGCTGGGGGCCGCGGGTTCGTATCCCGCACGGAACAAGTATTTGTATGGCCCACAAATAATTGTTCCGGGTCTGGATGTTTGCCCCCGTGTAGTCTATGTTTGTAAACCGACTCCACGATACAGGAGAAAATCCTAGTATGGGGTTAACGTTTTTTAAAAAAAATTAAGTTGTAATAATAATTATACAAATCATATTAGAAATAGCTTAATAACGATTACATTACTCTCATGCTCTTTTATAATTAATATTATTTCATTTTTATCCAGCCGTTGCTTAATAATTTATTTAATCTTGATAATATAAAATTGAGTTTAATTTTGGGATAATGTAATAAAAGTGTAAACATTGGCCCTTTCAATGAATTACTGACTCTGTGGAGTTAAATTCCTGGTATTACTTTCTTGTTGCCGTTTTATGCGTTTACAGAATGAATATTACTTTTTTTTTTTTAAATAAATTAAGTTTTTTGTACATACAAAAGTCCAAAGTTAATATATTCAATTGCAAACTTTTTGTTAATTTGAGATTTAAGCTACCAATAATTCTTTAAAAATTTTTTTAAACCACAGTTTAAGCCCCAAGCAATGAATAATCCACGTTTTCTAGAAAAGACCGTAGATTTTAAATCATTGATTGCTCTGTTTTTATCTGATTCTAAACTTTATACACTATGTTTTATTGTCGTTTAAATTTAAACTGTTATAGTTAAACCATGTTCCATTGGATGGTATTTACCTATGTCATATTTAAATGAGGGTCCTTTCTAATTTCAAAATCAGTGAAGTATCATCTGGACATAATACTATATGGTGTGAATGTACCCTTAGGAACACCTACCCGAAATAACTTTTACCATTGATAACGATTTTCTGTACACTGTTACTCAAAATAAAATATTAAGTTTAAAAGCTTTTAGCGTCATAATGTACGTGAAATAGGCATTTATACGAATAAAATATTATATCTATGAATTTTTCACCTTTCATGACTGTGTAAAGAGCGTGACTGCACTTGAAAAAAAAATAGGCGTGAGTAATGCTACTCTGAGGCGTAACTGACGTTCGAAAGCGACCCGAATGCCAAGGAGGGTTATGCATGCGGTGTATTTGCTGATTTATGAACGAGTCTTTGTCCACCGACGCATAGCCGAAAGTCTATTCAAAAGGCTGAATCGAAATTTCACAGACTGGCAATAGAGAGCAACCTTAAAAAAAATTAAGTAACGCCCTTGTACTTACCAACATACTTCCCGTAGTAATGCACACCAGTTGATGCTTTAAAGAGACTTAAATGACCTTTTAATGATTATGAAGAAGGAAATAAAAAGCGCGGATTTACTTAATACTTTTATATTAGGTATATTTACATTATATTAGTCGACTGGCATACTTATGTTTGACTCTCCGCGCCATACAATGTCCTCTATCCAGTCTATAAAACTTGACACTCTTGTGTAGACACCCGGAGTATTTGCACGGGCACATCCAATGCCAAAAGATGTAACGCCAATCAAATAGTGAATGGAGCCTTGATTATTATTAGGTAAATTTATCTTCACTTGTAAAGGTCCTCCAGAATCCCCCTAAAATAAAAAAAAAGGTAAAATGATTTATAGCGAAACAAAGGTACCATTTATAATATGGATAAATTCATTGAATTTTTCCAAAATTGTTTTGGTCTGGGAAATATAGGTTCCATGTTTAAATTAGGAATTATAATAAAGAATTGTGACAACGAATGGTATATTGGGTTTTGTGAGTATACAAGCGATGGACTAGCCGCCTATCATTTCTTTTACAATTGTAGCTCACTGATCTTTGGGTTCTGCCTACCACTTAAGATGTGAAAAAAAAACGAGAGAGAGAGGTCTCAAGATCATGCCGAACGGAAGTCCGTAACCTCTGCCTACCCCTTTGGGTGACAACTTATTTATGTATATAAATACATATAATATATAACTGATAAAGGGTTTGTATAAAATTGTTATCAGTAAGATGCTGCTGCCCATCTCCTGTTTCAGTTTCCTTCTGTTGCCTCTTACCACACCCATGGTACGATATGGGGTAGTGGATTTTCTCATATTGTCACTGCACGGTTGATCAGGAATGAAGATCTAGTCTAGTCTTTATGTATTGTCATTACCTCCTCACCTATACCTAAAGCTTCATTGATACCATCACAGAAGTCTTGGTTGTGAAAGTGAAAATGAGAACTGAAGTGATTATTGTTTGCATATACCTACGGCGCCGATGTGTAAGTAGTGCGTAGTATTCACATATAATAGATAAGTTTACTTTGTTTATGTTTACACGTGGTAGAAACATTCTTAAATGAACGGTAGAGTCGGAAAGCGACGCTCTAGACGAAAGTTTATCGGCGATATATTGAAGATGGGCCCGATTAAGAGTACTAGTAAGGAAACTCCACGAGCATGTATGCGTATAGGATGTAAGGTATATGGATGTGGAGGAGGCGAGAGAGGTGTGTCAGGATCGTGCCATATGGATGTCCGTAGTCTCTGCCTACCTCTCTGAGTGACAGGCGTGTGTTTATGTTGTCATTGCCTAAAAGTTTCTCGTTGAACCGGTATACTTTGCAGTGTATAGTATATTTTGATACCCTTTTGAATAAACAGTCTTAAAGATGTTAAATAACTTTTGATGGTCAACGGTTTCAATTCCGAAGAAGCTGTGTGAAAGAGCAAGAACACTTACCGCCTACAAATGGCGGGAATGTGTAGTGCGTGCAGTCTAGGCAAATATTTTGAGTAATTTAAATTCTATTTGTAAAGTAATTCATTTTAATTTTGCCCTACAAAACGGCAATTGCATACATAAAGAACTGGGAGAAAGATGAAATAATAAAACTTGTAATTATAATTCACCTGACAAGCGTCAAAGCCACCAGCTAATATTCCAGCGCAAAGTTGACTTTCCATCATCCCGCACCATAATCGATTACATAAGGACTTCAGTAAATTGTCGCATAGTGTTGAATCAAGTATGTCTACTACGGCAGCTTGTAGTTCCGGAGACGTTAGTAACTTTGCTAAAAAATATCAAAAAGGTATGAAATAAATTATGCGTATTTTTCTATAAAAAAATTCCGGAAAAACGCCTAATAATAGGAATCCCTCAACAGTTTCACGTCTTCCTCATTTTATATGATGTCCCCCACACGGAAATTCGGTCAAAGCTGCCAGTCTCACGGAGACCAGCCATCTGCACAGGATACTACTGCACGATTATGTGTGCAGGTACAGGTGTATTCTCTATGCTCGCACTCTTATAGTCTGATGAACCGGCAATCCGACACGACCGGAGAGAGATCAGGCGCACAACAGATGGTTTTACGTGATAAGGTAGGGTGGGGAAACATCGCCCAGGGTGAATACGACCTGGCTGATTCTAACCCGCGACCACATGATCAGCAGCTGCGCTTACACTAACGAGACAACCGACAAATGTTTTGGTATAAATGATGTATGGCGAATAATTTGAAATCAAACACTGTGGAATAAGTGAAAATTGAGGGACGCAATTGAGGGAGGGCGGGAGGTGCTTCTTCATACTAGGTAAGACACATCATTTTATTTTATAACGCGGATATTTGCGAAGTAAATTTTTGTAAAAGCTTTTTTTTAAATTTAGTTTAATGTGGGACTAATGATGCAAGACACTATTGAATAAACGTAGTTTATATTTAAGTGTTCATATATAGCAGGAAGTAGAGTGATGGATCTACCACTCTATTGGTAGTATTGTATTTGCATTAAGAATATCCCGTTGATATCCAACTCAACTCTAACTACAACAACAACAACAACAACAAAAACAAACACTCACGCCTGTCACCCAGAGGGGTAGGCAGAGACTACGGACTTCCATTTGGCGCGATCCTGACACACCTCTCTCGCCTCCTTTACATCCATACATTTACGCATACACGCTCTTCGGTTAAGGGTACTCCTCATCTGGCCCATTTTCAATGTATCGCCGATTTGGTCGATAAATCTTTGTCTAGAGCGTCCCTTCCCGACTTTGCCGTTCACTTCTGAAACATAAATTTGCTTTGTCACACTTTCCTCGTTCATTCTTTCTACGTGACCAAACCACTGAAGCATTCCTTTTTTAATCCTAGTCACAACGTCATCTTGCAAACCACACCTTTCTCTTATCACAGTATTTCTCACCCTGTCATTCAGATTCAGCTCTAGCATACTCCGTAATGACCGCATTTCTACAGCCTTTATTCTACTCTCATGATTCTTCTGCCATACCCAACTTTCACTACCATACATTAAAGTAGGGACTAACACAGCATAATGAATTGCCATGCGTGCCTTCTTTGACACATTCTGACTCTTATTCATAGCGTGTAGAGCCCCATTAACTCTATTTCCTGCGTTCACTCGTTGTTCTATATCCTTATCATATCTATCATCCCTGCTAAATAAACATCCCAAGTATACATACTCATCCACTTGCTCAATCAACTTTCCTTCTATTCTTATTTTACATAACGTTTTACTTTCTTCTCTTTCAAAAACCATCACTTTCGTCTTACTTGCGTCCACTTTCATACCCCTTTCTTTTAATGACCAGTTCATTAAATTAACCATCATTTGCAACTCGGCCACCGACTATGCAAATATGACTTGATCATCGGCGTACAAAAGGCATTTGACGGTTAACTCACCCATTTTCAACCCACATTCTTCAACTTTCAAAGTTTGCAAACAACTGTCCATAAATAGGTTAAACAGCCACGGAGAAGCTACACAGCCCTGTCTGACACCTTTTTGAATGCCAAACCACTACTAGAGTCCCTATAAAGAGACTTTAATGCCTGTATCAGACCAGCGCTCATCCCAAATGAAGTCAGTGTTTGCCATAACACGTTCCTGTCCACTCTGCCATAAGCCTTTTCCAAGTCCATGAACGCACAAAAAACTTTCTGGTTTTGGCCAAAAATTTCTCCGCAATCATGCGCATGGAAAAGACTTGATCCCTACACCCCATCCCCTTTCTAAATCCGGCTTGCACATCCCAAATTGTTCCATCAGTTTCTTCCATAACTCTTTCAATTAACACCTTAGCATAAAGTTTACCCACAATGCTAAGCAAGCTGATACCACGGTAGTTTTTACACTCTTGCTGCGACCCCTTTCCCTTATATATTGGGACTATAACGGCTTTGCACCAGTCTTCCGGTACCCATTTCAGTTCCCAACATAAATTAAACAAGGTGTACAGCAGGCCTGCAACCAAGCCCTCTCCAGCCCTTAGCATTTCGAGTGATACTCTACCATATCTGGCTGCCTTACCTGCTTTAATGCTTTTCATTGTTTTCATTATTTCATCTACACTTATCTCCCTACCTCTCTCCGCTTCTTCCGGAATTTCTATTTCACTTACTTCAGACGACTCTTCACTCTTAAACACGCTTTCAAACTATTCCTTCCATCTCTTTAAATTCAAAACTTCATCATTCAGCATGCAGCCATTCTCGTCTCGTATAGCATTCATTCTAGGCTGTTTTGAATTTACCCTAGCAGTTCTTACGAGCTTCCAGAACATTTTAATATTTGCCTGGAAGTTATCAGATATTCTTCTATAATTCTTATCTATCCTTTCTTGCTTTTTCCTTTCAACAACTTCTTTTACTCTCTTATTTATAAGTATAAAGTCTGTCTTTTTTCTTACAATCTCATCATTTATACCGCCAGAATTACCAGCTTTGGTTGCTAGTTAATCTAGCCATGCTCTCTTCTTTGCTTCAACTTCCATCCGTACCTCATCATCCCACCACAATGTATTACTTTTCCTTTCATTCGTTCTCTTACTTACACCACATACTTCGGTGGCTGTATGAACCAAAACTTTCTTAACTTTATTCCATACATTCTTCAAGTCTAAATCATTCATACATAATTCATTCAACATACTTATATTTTCCCTCATTCTGCATTTATACTTCTCTTTCAAACCTTCTTGTAACCTCTCTATTCTTATGCGCTGTAACGCAGTGGTAGACACAGATGTCCGATGCCGCCAACGCTTGAATAGACCTAACTAACTATCATACTATTTTCTTTCATAACTATTTTTTACGTGGCAGAGCCATGCTGTAGATATTTATTATTATAGTAGTACAGTATAGTTCTATATATACTATATTGTGGTTGCAGCACAAATGAGTCGGCTTGGACGGAGAAAGACCACGCTCTCACAGAATGCCAGCGTAAAATAGTAGCTCATTGCTGCTTTGTCTCGTATGGTGAGTGTAGAGAACTGGAGACCTTTTTTACTGGAAACGAGGCATTCCATCTCAGTCCTCGGGCTGGCGGTGCATCTGTATTTTGATTCTTAATCGAGGATAAATTTAAATATCTATGGGACACAGTACCACTTACCATCAAGTTGACTGTGTGCTCGTTTGTCACCCTTATTCTATAAAAAAAACTTTAATGCCCAAGTCCCTTTTTCAAGGAACGTTTCGTTTTTCATTACGATCAGTTTCACTATATGCGAAGTTTAATAGGCATAAACTATAGTAAATTTTAGTAATCGGTAACGATAACGAAGAACTTCATTTAAATAATATAAATTTTGTTCCAAAACCAGATCTTTGATACTTTAAAAATATTTGCTACTTTAATGTCGAGAACTTACCCGTTTCTATTACGCCCCAACCAGTTAATGTGGCTTTCGTTCCAAGAGAACTGGTATCGGAATGGGTCCAAAGGCAAGCGGGTTGTATATGTCTAGTGAAATACACATCATGCTCCAGTTGTATAATAGCTATATCGAAATACTTTTTCGGAGCCTTGTACTGAGGATGTACGATGAATTGTTGAATTTTTACATCATATGGATAACGTCCTTTGTCAAACTGAAACAACGGGTAATTTATGTGATGTCATATAGTGCCGATAAAAAAGGACTAAATGTAATAACTCATCAAAATATTATTTAATATGCTAGAAGGCCCGGCAAATGTTTTATCCTTTCCCGAAGGATATTACAATGTCGCAGACAACTAGCCGAATTAGCTTTTCAGTTAACAGCCTTGTCGGGAACACACACTAAATATGGGTAGAATTAATGTTGATAAGAGGGCAACACTGGTTGACAGAGAGGTGGAAGTGACTTAAATGTTAGTGGCATATTAATAGTCAGTTTGAAGTTGCTGTTCGAAGAGGCTACCACTCTCTAACAAGACTGCTGCGTCTTGAGAAGGAGATATTGGAAAGTGTTATGTCTATTAATATCATAATGCATTTCATATTGTTGAATGTTACCTAGTTTTGGAGGTTTGGGAGAGCTATAAGGGATGGTTGGAGGATCTTCAGGGACAGAAGTCCCGACAAAGAGAGTGTTGATAAGAGATATTACCGTTAATAAAAATGTAAGGGTATATACCATCTCTTTCATGTAGTTTAAATCGCACAAAAAGATTCAGTTCGAACCTAGGCAATAACAAAATCGCGATGGAATAGGATAGGCCCTCGCGATAAGCCTAGTCTTTTTACCTAACTCGTTTTATGAAATTTACTAATTTCATGAAACGAGTTAGGTAAAAAGACTACCTTGTCACGTAATGTCACTAATCTGTGGTTAATTATGAGTTATGTGATATATCTGCTGTTTTCGAGAAGAATTACGAATCGTCTCGCAAGCAGACTCGAGGAATCTGGGATTCATCGAGTCTTTCCGAACAAGCCGGTTTTCGAAAGGGCTTATCACAATAGACCACATACATACCTTTCGGCAAATTATACAGAAGACGAAGAAGAAGACAATCAGCCACTTTGTCTTTCGTATGTGGACTATAAGAAAGCCTTTGATTCCGTCGAAATTTTTACGGTGCTGCAGTCCTTTCAGCGCTGCCAAGTTGACTGTATATTGAAGTGCTGAAGTGTTTGTACAGTAGGGCTACGATGGCTATCCGAGTACATACCCTGAGTACGAAACCTATCCAACTGCAGAGAGGTGTAAGATAGGGTGAATTTATATCCCCGAAACTCTTTACCGCTGCGTTGGAAGACGTTTTCAAGCTACTGGACTGGAAAGGATACGGTATTAACGTCAATGGCGAGTATCACATCACTCACCTTCGATTTTCTGACGTTATAGTCCTTATGGCAGAATAACTGGAGAACCTAAGCACTGTGCTCAATGGCCTCAATAGTGTCGCCCAAAGGATAGGTCTTAAGATGAACATGGACAAAACAAAAGTCATGTGTAACGTCCATGTCACACCTATGCCGATTGTTGTTGGGAGTACTAAGCTCGAAGTTGTTGACGAGTATGTTTACCTGGGACAAATAGTCCGAATAGGTAAGTCCAACTTCGACCGAGAGGTCAATCGACGGATTCAACTCGGTTGGCAGCGTTCGGGAAATTACGGCACATCTTCTCGTCAGGTATACCTCAAAACTTGAAAACGAGTCTGTACAACCAGTGCGTGTTGCCAGTGATGACATACGGAACTGAGACGTGGTCCTTCACTGCTGGCCGGATGAGGAAGCTCAAGGTCGCTCAGCGAGCTATGGAGAGGGCTATGCTCGGAGTTTCTCTGCGTGATAAACTCAGAAATGAGGATATCCGCAGTAGAACCAGAGTGACCGACATATCCCAACGGATTAGTAAGCTGAAGTGGCAATGGGCCTGCCATATAGCTCGAAGATCCGACAACCGATGGGGAAGAAAGGTTCTCGAGTGGCAGCCTCGTACCGGCAGGCGAACCCTCACTAGATGGAGTGACGACCTGTTAAGACATGCAGGAAGTCAATGGATGCAGGTAGTTTGGGACTGTTTTATTTTTATTTTTTTATAGAATAAGGGTGACAAACGAGCACACAGTCCACCTGATGATAAGTGGATGATGTGGTCCATAGACATCAAGATCTATCCTCGATTAAGAATCAGAATGTGCATGCGTCGAAAAAGGGTGGCACCCTTGAGTACTAAGTTGGAATACCTCATTCCTGTAAAAAGGGTCTCCGGTGTTCTACACTCACCATACGAAATATATTATTTAAATGTACGCGCCTTTAGGATGGCCCTGATGCCACCCCTGCCACACCTACTGTCGCTGATATTACAAGACAGATGCAATGTTGTATTAGACGCATCGACTGAATATCATTCAGGCCCCTAGTTGAACGACGCCGTTTAGTAAAAAGGCTATTAATTGATAGGCTAATTAATTTTAATGCGACATAAATATAAAATTCAGTAAAGATCAAAGAGTATATTATAATCAATATGTTTCAGTAAATATTTTATGATTTTCATTTTTTTTACTGTGCTATTATTTATTGTTAATATGTTATTTTGATTTATAAGTATATAATCCGTTAATATTTGACTATCCCACTCATCATCTCGACAAAACTATTTTGTGTGAAAGTGACCTCAATTATTCAAGTCGTTAGGAAGTTACACGATCTTAAACAGATGCACTAATTTATATATAAAGAAGATAATACTAGTAATGATAGAGTAATACTGTGGTTATTATACGTAGTTTATTATGATTTTGCTGAAGTGATGATCGTTTGGAAAAAAAATTGAATTCTACTCTCATTTCACTAAATACACACAAAGGGTTACTTTGAATGTTGTATAACCGAAAACCAGCGTAAAATAGCAGTTTAACGCTGCTGTGTTTCGTACGGTGGATGTAGAAAACCGGCGACCCTTTTTACTGGAAACGAGATATTCCATCTTATTCCTCGCGGGTGACAACGCATTTGCATTTTAATTCGTAATTGAGGATATATCTCTATGGGCCACAGCTATCACTTACCATCAGGTGGACTGTGTACTCGTTTGTCAACCCGTATCCTATAAAAAAAACCACATCCAATATAATTTTTTCAATATTCAATGAAAATGGATGGGTATATTGAAGTTAACCTTCCTGTCAACCTGCTTCTAATGATCCAAAAACTTCTAAAAATTCTCTTCTTACAACTTTCATATTCAACTATCTATCTATATATATATATATATATATATATATATATATGTATATAGTGCCGTGTAGTGGCGGGTAAGAATATCCACTACCCCATATCTTCCCGTGGGTGTTGTAAAAGGCGACAAAGGGGAACAGGCTGGAGATGGGCAGCAGCATCTTCCTGATAACAGCAAAAATACAATAAAAAAATTGCGGTTGCCAATCCGCTCGCCAAGCGTGGCAACTATGGCAAATACCCCCCAAATGGATAAAGTTACTAAGAGACGGCCCCTAGTCCCCGGCGGCCCCGCTATTCCTGGTTATGGTGGCGACCATGGTAATGGCGGGGCAGGGAGTGCTAAGAATCTCCAGTGGAGGTTCGGTTGCCACCTACGATGACTCGACCTGGCAACATACAACGCACGCACCCTGAGGACTGACGAGAAGATTGTGGAGCTGGAAGAAGAGATAGACAAGTTACGCTGGCATATTATAGGATTATCCGAAGTCCGAAGAGAGGGGGAGGAAACGGTGGTAGACGGCTCCGTGGCGCAGTGGCTTAGCAATCAGTTGTCGCGCTGGGGTCGCGGGTTTGAATCCCGCACGGAACAAGTATTTGTATGGCCTACAATTAATTGTTCCGGTTCTCGATGTTTGTCCTTGTGCAATTTATGTTTGTAAACTGCCTTCACGACACTGGAGAAAATCCTAGTGTAGGGGTAATGTTTTTATAAAAAAAAAACGGTAATCCTCGAATCCGGCAACTTGCTCTATTATCGGGAGGTTAACCATCTGTCCCAAGGAGGTATCGGATTTATCGTCCACAAGTCTCTCGTTAACAACGTTGTAAAGATTGAGAGTGTGTCGATGAGGGTTGCGTACCTTATACTCAGAATCACCAAACGGTATTCGCTGAAGGTCATACAGGTTTACACATCAACCTCGGCACACCCCGATAAGGAGGTGGAGGAAATGTATGAGGCTATCTCTAGAGCCATGCATTCCTCCAAAACCCAATATACGGTGTTAATGGGAGACTTCAATGCAAAACTAGGCACAAGAGAGAACGGTGAGCTGAAAGTAGGGAAATTTGGAATAGGGCAACGGAACCCAAGGGGCCAGCAGCTGGCCGACTTCATGGAGAAAGAGGGACTCTTTATGATGAACTCTTTCTTCCAGAAGCGGTCACACAGGAAGTGGACCTTTTCGAGCCTCGACGGTTGGACAAAAAACGAGATTGACTACATTATGACGACCAAACGACAACTGTTCAGTGATGTCTCAGTGATCGCGAGGATGAAAACCGGCAGCGATCACCGAATGGTTAGAGGCACACTAAACCTAAACGTTAAGTTGGAGAGGTCTCGTCTAATGAAGTCAACGCTCCGTCCCCCTCGTGCTTTGTTCCAAAGTCCCGAAACCTTTCAGCTCGAGTTACAAAACCGTTTTCAGCGCCTAGAAGACTGCAATGAAGTGGACGATATGAATTACAAGCTCGTGGAAACTGTCCATGCGGTCGGAGCTAAGTTCTGCAAGACCCGCCGCAGAAGAACACAAAAACTCTCCGATCACACTCTTAATCTCATGGCTGTTAGACGGGAGATGAAGCTACATTCTTCAACAGATTTGACAGCATACAGGCAACTGAACAGACAGATCTCCAAACGCATGCGGCGGGACTTACGCAACTTCAATACAGCTCGTATTGAAGAAGCGATCGAGCGGAACCACGGCTCCAAAGTCTTTGCCAGAGATCTGTCTGCCAGAAAGAGCCAACTGTCAAAGCTGAAGACAGAATGTGGCAGCATCGTTTCCGGGGCACCTGAGATTTTGAGTGAAATTGAGAGGTTCTATGGGCAGCTGTACACGTCATCGTTGGAGCCACACGCAAGTGTGAGTAACGATCCAAGAGCGAGTCTTATCCGACATTATTCCGATGATATACCGGACGTCAGTCTGAGCGAGATTAGAATGGTTCTCCAGCACCTTAAAAATGGCAAAGCCCCAGGCGAGGATGGAATTACAGCGCAGCTTCTGAAAGCGGGTGGAAAACCGGTACTTGAAGTCCTTCAGAAGCTCTTTAATTCCGTCCTCCATGGTGTTATTATACCGGCGGCGTGGAGCAGAAGTGCGGTGGTCTTCAAGAAAGCCGACAACACTCTGTTGAAGAACTACAGACCGATTTCCCTTCTGAGCTGCGTCTACGTGCTGTTTTCAAGAGTCATTACGAATTGTCTCGCGCGCAGACTTGACGACTTCCAGCCTCCCGAAGAAGTCTGTTTCCGAAAAGGCTTTAGCACCATAGACCACATACATACCCTTCGGCAAATTGTACAAAAGTCAGAGGAGTACAATTTTCTACTATGTCTGGCGTATGTGGACTATGAGAAAGCTTTTGATTCCGTCGAAATTTGGGCGATGCTGCAGACCCTTCAGCGGTGCCAAGTGGACTGTCGGTATATCGAAGTGCTGAAGTGCTTGTACAGTAGGGCTGCGATGGCTATCCGAGTACAGAACCAGAGTACGAAACCTATCCAATTGCAGAGAGGTGTAAGACAGGGTGACGTCATATCCCCGAAACTCTTCACCGCTGCATTGGAAGACATTTTCAAGCTTCTGGACTGGAAAGGATACGGTATCAACATCAATGGCGAGTACATCACTCACCTTCGATTTGCCGACGATATAGTCCTTATGGCAGAATCGCTGGAGGACCTAAGCACTATGCTCAATGACCTCAATAGTGTTTCCCAACGGATAGGTCTTAAGATGAACATGGACAAAACAAAGATTATGTTTAATGTCCAATGTCACACCTATGCCGGTAGTTGTTGGGAGCACTAAGCTCGAAGTTGTTGACGAGTATGTTTACCTGGGACAAATAGTCCGACTAGGTAAGTCCAACTTCGACCGACACGTCAATCGACGGATTCAACTCGGTTGGGCAGCGTTCGGGAGATTACGGCACATCTTCTCGTCAGGTATACCGCAAAACTTGAAAACGAGTCTGTACAACCAGTGCGTGTTGCCAGTGATGACATACGGAACTGAGACGTGGTCCTTCACTGCTGGCCGGATGAGGAAGCTCAAGGTCGCTCAGCGAGCTATGGAGAGGGCTATGCTCGGAGTTTCTCTGCGTGATAAACTCAGAAATGAGGATATCCGCAGTAGAACCAGAGTGACCGACACAGCCCAACGGATTTGTAAGCTGAAGTGGCAATGGGCCGGCCATATATAGCTCGAAGACCCGACAACCGATGGGGAAGAATGGTTCTCGAGTGGCAGCCTCGTACCGGCAGGCGAAGTGTTGGGCGTCCCCCCACTAGATGGAGTGACGACCTGGTAAGTTATGCAGAAAGTCGATGGATGCAGGTGGCTCAGGACCGTGCTTTGTGGCATTCCTTGGGGGAGGCCTATGTTCAGCAGTGGACTTGTGAAGGGCTGTAATGATGATGATGATGTTAGATAGTAACTTTTTTCTTTATTTTACTTTTGTACTTTTCATTACATTCAACATTATTCAACAATACAAAAAATACTTGACTTATTTAACAATATACAAATATAATTATACAGCAATGCATGAGTTTTTGGTCACTACTAATTATATAATAGCAAAATGAATAAGATATTGCAATATATTTTTATTTTTTGCGACATTTAATTATCCATTGTTTATCTGATGTACCAGTCATTTAAAACCAACTTTAATTTAAAGCGATTAAAATGAAATTCGTTCGACTTAATTATCAGTAAACAATTTTAGTGGCAACAAACAATCTCCTCACTTTAACAATATGTATTAAACTTTTATAAATTACTAGCTGTTCCCCACGACTTTGTCCGCGTGAAATTTATTACAACTGGATTTCATGGGTTTTAACTTTGCGCAGAACCCTGTTTCTTTCTTTTATCCTAAGTTACTCCTTATAACATCAAGCTACCTGTGAGTGGAAGTCCCGTCAAAATCGGTCAAGCAATTTCAAAGATTTATAGCAAAAATTTAAAAATTGTATGTTTGTTGTACGTACCGTATATATACTTTCATATGCATTTAGTAAAAAGCTGTTATTTTGACATTACAAATAGACACTACAATTTTATTTATTTGTATGGATCATGAGACATCTATGTTGGAAAATCCTCCCAGGGTCATTGAAATATACACCTCAACTTACCACATCAATGATATTTTTGTCGCCTAATCGAACGATCTCCGGGGTAGTGTTTGCTATACTTGTATCTCTTGACGATACTCTTGAGCAATGTGCAGCTGTCAGCATAAACTTAGAACTGATCAAGGAGCTACCACATTTAAATACCCAAGTCCCTGATGTCGCTTTCCATCCTACTGCACCCTAAAAATCAATACTTCGTAATTTTTAAGAAATAAATACCCAGTATTTCATATTTTTAATATTTATTAACATAGTACCATATGCGGAAATTCTCCAGGCTCTGTAATCCTACCACCAACAACAAAATGCGGTTTGTTTGGACCTGGTTGGCTTAGTTTATATTGTAAGCCTGAAATTATTAGAACAGTTGTTTTTATTAACACTCTATTTGGTACTTTGGGATTAACCCGTCGACTTCTTAAAGTTATTTTATGCCCGGTTTACATGTGTTGGTTGTTTTACGGACTGCGAAGAAGAAAGTATTTAACAATGGTTAATCGAAACTGATCTCTTCTTGAAATCATTGTCACTGTAGTATTCTCACTTCTACGGCTTCTAAATTACTGGAATAATGTAGACGATACAGATCCAGATCTGGACTAGATTCTCGCTGGATCACTGTACTAGAATAATGTAAACCGGGAATTAATTTAACGATTATATCAATATAATGTACGCGGCTACAGGATGGTCCAAGAGTCACTCCAGTCACAACCTGAACCTAATGTTACTGATATTGCAAGATTGGTGTAATGTTTTATTTCTATTTGGTTTATGAGCGTTGAGAAGTCTACGGGATAATCCCAAAGTACCCTCTTTTCTATTTACTTCACCTGTATGTATGTTGTTTTCTACGTGGTAGAGCCACGCTGCAGCTATATTATTACTGCATCACGGTTCGACCGGGGTTGGACCACGCTCTCACAGAATATCAGTGTGAAACAGCAGAATCTTGCTGTGTTTCTTTTGACGAATGTAGAAAGCCGAATACCCTTTTTACTGGTAGCAAGGTATTCCATCTTAGTCATCAGGGGTGACAACGCATAATTGCATTTTGGTTGATAATGTCTATGAGCCAAAGAATGCTTTACTTACCATCATGTGGACAGCATACTCTCTTGTAACCTTTATTCTATTACAAATATATGTATTGCCGGATGTGTGAGTATTCTAAAATTTAGCACCCGTACGTAGAACCGACGGCAATACAATAATTTCATTACAATCATCCTTCTTCTTCATATTTCTTTCCTCTTTTTCCTTTTCATGCGTTTTATTTGTAGATGTCTATGTGCCGTCCAACATAATATTCTCAAACGAAATTGATATTGCAGTCAATAATAACCATCTTTCAACCATAATTTGAAGAAATTTTACGATTTCTAGATGTATTTCAATACTTTTTTCAATCATTTATTTAAAAAGTATTGAAATACATCTAGAAATCGTAAAATTTCTTCAATTTATGGTTGAAAGATGGTTATTATTGACTGCAAACTATAAACCACAAAGTTTTGTAAATAATGCTGATCTATATCGATATTTTCACGTTTGATAAGGATAGTTTAAAATTAAAAATTTTGTACAAATTTTGACTTCAACATAAATTATTAGGAAGAACTCAAAAACGATTGATCAGACCTTGATTAAATTCAGGAACTACATAACAGGCACCAGCTTTCAAATAAAAAAAAATCATCGAAGTCGGTTCACCCAGAAAAAGTTATGAGGTAACACACATAAAAAGAAGAAAAAATAACATACAGTCGAATTGAGTACCGTCTCCTTTTTGAAGTCTGTAGAAAAATAGAATAGACGATATATTACATTGTGTTGCAAATAGTTTAAAAATCGATCTAAATTTATAATTTTGATAACTTAGGTAATTAAATAACTAGATGCTTGGTAAGATCATTTCTAAGTGTAAATAGAAAGTAAGATTTAATTTCGTTTTAATATTTTCTCGTGTATTATTACGTAAATTAGAGGGTAAGTTGTTTATAAATCGGGGAACTAAATAAGTAGCTAATCGTTAGCCGTAGATGTTATTAGCACGGGTAGAATAAAACCAGTTTATACGACTGCTCGCCTTTGTTTAATTTTTTCAGTAAGTTTTTCTTTAAAGAATTGTTCTTTGAGTAAGCTATATTTAAATTGTGTAAAAATGGGTAAAATTTTACAATGTTTAAATAACTTAACGTTATTGCTTTCAAATATTTCCTCAATGTTTGGAGATAGTATATGTTTAAGAATTTTTAGTTGAAGCCTATATATTTTATTGAGATATGTTTTATATATACTTACAGTCAGCATTCCTTTTGGACTCATCTTCGCGCCTCTTTATTTCCCAAATGTATTCATAACATTCTGCAAAAAAGAAAATGTCATCATAACTCATACAAGTATAGCTAAAATAATCGTAGAGCTTACGAAATGAAAAAAAAAGTTTACAAAAATGACCATGGTATTAATATTTCAACGTGGTACAGCCACGTATATATATTATGATTGTAGCACGAATGGGTGACCGCGACTGAGAAAGAAAGACGCTCTAATAGAATACCAGCCTAAAGCCAAAGTTTAATGCTGCTGTATTTCGTGCGGTGAGAAACGGAGACCCTCTTTACTGGAAACGACGCAATTTTGTCCTAGATCTTTGTCCTTCCTAGGTGGCAACGCATCTGCGTTTTGATTCTTAATTGAGGATAAAATGTAGTTGTCTATGGGTAACAGCATCTATTTACAGTCAGGTGGACTGTGTGTTCGTTTGTCAATTTTATTTTTTTACAAAAATTAAAATGTAATCAAATGAAAACATAATTCCTTTTAAGTTAATTATTGGATTGATCATTTTAATTGTAGTCGTATTGACACGTCTAAGTTTTAATAATTTGATTTTTATTGTTCTGCTAGTATTCTTGTGACTTAAGTGCCAATCAGTATCCAATTAAAAATCATAGGTTCCTTGTTATTTACGCCAATTTATCCAAATTAGAATATTTTTAATAATATTTTTAATAATAAAAAAATGTCAAAATAAACTCAATTAAAAAGTTCTAAATTACTTAGTTTTATAGATATTTGTACAACGTACTTGCTTCGCTTATTCTGCGACCAGGAGCGTCGAAGTTTGGCTTTACAATTTCTATAGAATTACATGGATTTTCCTCGATGTCAGAAGTTCCAGAATCCATTGCTTGCTGGTTAATTGGTAGGTTTCCCTGTAAAAGATTTAAGAGTGTCCTTCATATGTGGGTGATAAGATCTAAGAGATCTCTCTTAGGATCCATGACGGCAGTTAGATAGCTTGAAAACTGGAAACCCCATTCAAGGAACCTATTTCTTTTTTATAACCTATACTCTTTTTATAACCGAACAAATTTAGTTTAAACAGATAATTTTTAACATGGAGAATATGCCTTGGTAGGCTTGTCTACTTATTTCTGTTAATGGCTACCTGGCAAGCAAGTATGAACAGATAAGTCAATATACATAACTACACCGATATGTTAACCAATAAAAACTGATACTCGTATCAGAAGAAAGACAATATTACGGAAATAATCGTATAGACTTGTCTGGAGAAAGCCTTTCGTGGTATATTATTGCCATGCATTAAAATTTTAAAATCGGAGTAATTGCAAATTTAAAATTTTCGTTGAAAAGAAAGTAAAAAGTTTCAGCTCTAACATAATGCCACCGTGCTGGTCTTCTTTAATACAAAAATTGGCATGATGTCATCTATCTTCAAAGGTGTTTGGTACCCAATGAATCCAATTGGTTTTAAATACTTATTTTCTATAACACAACCGCTGTTTTCAGGGCGCAATTTTATTATTAAAAATGTTTAAAATTAATTTAATTAAAAATAACCATAAACACTTTCGGAAGGCAAGGTCATATAATCATAGGCATGTTATCTGGTTATCAGATGGGTGAAGGTTGACCTTCAACAGTCTCTTAGACTATAAAATGCGGCCAACGGAAGAATGCGATCCTGATGTCAGTCATGACTAGTGATGGGAAATAATTAAAACTATTATTTATATTTTAACTAACCCAATAAAAAAGGAACCTAAGTTTCATTTCCTACTTTTCTCTGGATTCTAATTTCTGAATGTAACTAAAGTAATAAAGAAAATAGAAATGCGATAATAATATTCAGAAATATTTTAAACCACTCGATAGCTAAAGGATTAAAGAATTCGTTGCGTTGAGCGAGGAATAAGAGTCGTAAAACACACGGCCGTGTCGACGACACAGCCACACCACTAGGGCTAGATTTATATCATAGAGTCATATTGTTGTAGAGTGAGAGACACCGATATAATTATGATGATGCACGAGAAAGAATAATTACACAAATTCATGATTGTCTCAGCATCGAGCATTTGCAAAGTGCTGGCCCATATACATATGCATAATCGTAGAGCACTGGCTATGTTTTACTCTTTTTGAATAAGGCACTAGCCGAGACCCGGTGCGTTGCTGCTGTAGAAGAAATAATTGTGAAAATATTGTATTAAATTTTGAATAGTTATATTGTTTAATTAGGAATGATAATGATAATGATATATAACTTTTAAATAAATTTGTCGGTACGATACGCGTACCACCTACAATAAATTTATTATATGCCTATAACCTTCCCGCAAGTGCTAGGAATAAGTTTACAAAGTTTTACTGAACTTCTGATGAACGGTATGGCAGTCATTAATATACGAGAAAACAAAAAAAATATTTTTATATTTTTAATTAATATTTACTGTCCGATTTGATGAAGACCGTAGTGATTCCGGTAGTTAAAAAAAGAGCGATATGTAGGACAAATATAACTTTAGGCCAATATATTCCGCAACAATCATGGTGGTAGTGTCAAATAGCTCATTGAAGAAGCTGCATGATAATACGTTCGGAATGTCTTCTGAAAGTGCAATACTGTATCATAAGTACACTGTCAAATACTGCATAGACAAGAACACATCTGTCTACGCCCATTTACTCGAGCTATATAAGGTGTTAGATCTGATTTCCTATGATATATTTTGGAGATACCTAAAGGAAATTAAGGTACCAAGAGAACTAATTCAGATTTGGAAATATTTTTTTATTTTATTTACACACACATACAACATACACAATCATTACAGGGTGAGTACCCTAATTCGACAGTGTAGCCAACGATACAGTATGATATGCCATTTTACTGAGCTCACTCAGCGAACATGAAAATAAATGAGTTCGCTCCGAAATGGTGTTGATCACACGCAGCGCGCGAATTAAGATCATGAACCCAAATTCAATAAAAAATATATTTATTTATTTTGACAGAGTTACAGTAAGAAGTTTATTACTACAATATTCAATATTAAATGATTACCATTGTCTATTTATACTTAAGTTATATGCAACAAAACTATTAACTAAGCTTATTTACTGCATACGCTTGACCCAGATGGGATTGCCGATGATGTGCGAACGAATGAGATTTGGCAGGGGTGCTCAGCCTTAACTCCTCCCCCCTCAAGAGAGAAATTATCCGAAGGTGGCTCAAGCGACTTCGGAGAATTTCGACAACATAATTTGAATTTAATTAAAATGCTACATACTATACAGATTACTATAATGAGATATAAACTTATGGTCCATACACTGATTTCACTTGTTACTAAGAATTTTGTATTTATTTCGTTATCACTGAATTTAGCACCATTTATTAGTTCTTTTATATCACTGAAGTCCACGTTTCTTAAATCTAACTGTTTTGCTTCTTTCTTGATGTCATCCTCTCGTACGGTTAGCATCTCGATTGTGGGAAGCTGAAGTTTGATATTCGCAAAGTACCTCGGAGCGTTGATGAATGTGTCTCCAACCTGTGTTCTGCATTCTTGATTAGGTATCATTATATATGTGCCTTGCACTTGGTATTTTTGTACATGTTCTGGACAGTGTTCAGTTATTATCAAGTCCTTAGTGGTATACAGTAGCCAATAGTTCTTGAAGATCCTCTGAATTTTCAAATTCTCCAATCGTATATTATGTTGCTGGCAGCTACTGTGGTTGGTTTTTATCTGCATTATTTGCTCAATACATGTTTTAGTTGGATACTCTGCGAGACTTTCCTTTGGGCATAAGAACTTTTCATCGTCGATTTCTTCACAGGGACTCACCGCTGATCGGTATTTCAATCTTTTCACCAATAGGAAAGGATATGATGGGATTACGATATGGGTAACATCGGAATTAGATATTGGAATTGGTATTATTTTGTAGTATGTGTATATGTCTGATTCAATTAGTGGGATATCTAATACAAAAACTAAGTTATTCCTATTGACATACGATTTAACTACTATATTTCTTTCTAACTTAATTAAATTTTCCTTATTTGCTGCGTAAATCAATTTGGCATATTTGTCTATATTTATTAACATATTTAATAGTTCTGTTGAATTTATGATTGATTGATGTAAAGTATGTAATTTACTAAAAGCAATAGCTGTTTCTATTTCTTGTATTACATCTAAAATTGTTCGAAAATGGTTCGAAATTTGATATAAAGTATTTAATATTGTTACAATATTTTTTAGAGACCTTTCCTTATGAAGTATAGAATTTATTTTCTGATTTTGTAAACGATTGACATTCGAATTTATGTCTTCCGACGCATTAACAAGCTTGTTAAATGCTTGTTGTAGCAAAGTGACTCGGTGTTCGACCAAATGTTCTCTATTATTCACCTGACTTATTTGTGAGTCGAAGTGCCTAGCGTCTTCTTCGTCTAAGTTACCTGAGATAACTTTAACTAAGGAACCTAAAGGACTAAATATGGCTCGTTTACTTATTTTAGATATAGGTAAAATCTGATGTATTTTATTATTTGTTAAATCTATGGATGTTTCTATTTGCTTAATTAACCCCCTAAATTCATCTCCAACTTCACTATTATTACTAATAATCTTACTAACGCAATTATATTGTTCAGTATTAATATCTATTTGTTCAACTACCAACTTTAAATCTAATGTTTTCAAAATGGTCCACGAGTTATTCCTGATCACTGCCATCCCAACTTTCAGAGGAGCTATCCCCGGATTGGTGTTCAGGTTCTGTAGATCTAGGCCGTTGGACAGTTTTGCCAATGCCAGAAGTACTAGCTACGACCTGTGGAGGACGTTTAATATTTTTTATAGCTACTTTAGTTTGTCTCTTATTAAGTTTAACGGGTATTATATTATGATCCAGTTTCCCTATGACTTTGGCTTTTTCAAAACGTGGCTTATCTTTTGCTTTTCTTGTCCTAGTAGTTTTGATAAAAATATCGTCCCCTTCTTTAATTTCTGGGACTTCCTCACCTCCTCTTTTTTCTCTAACCTTAATCTTATCTGTCTGTAATTTCTCGGCTACATATTCAAAAAGAACTTTAAGACGTTTTCTATGATCTTGTAAGAGCTTTTGCATCAAATTACGTTCTCTATCTATATCGAAGACGTTACCTGAATCGGTGGTACCGAAAACAATTTCAAATGGTGTAAAGGTTGTTGCGGAATGAATACTATTATTATAAGCCATTATCGCATATGTCATCACAGAGCAGGCATCAAGATCTATTTTATCGTACTTAGCTAATCTATATATTTCGTTAATGGTGGAGTGGAATCTTTCAACTATTGCCATGGAACTAGGGTTATTTGGTGTTCCTATGTGGAGCTCTATTTTATAAAGATTTAAAAGTTCTTTTATTAATTCGTTATTAAACTCTGTACCCGAGTCGCTATTTATTTTTTGTGGTAAACCATACATACTAAAGTACTTAATTAAGGCTCTTACAACTTCAGGGGTACTGCGATTTGGGATGTTTATTGCTTGCCCTAACTTACTGAAAGCATCAACAATTGTCAAATAATATTTACTTTCTATGAATAGTAGATCTATGAAAACTTCTTGGAACGGTGTGCTTTGACTCTGTGTTAATTGAATATGAGGTTTTATAGGTTTCCTTTCATATTTCATCTTTTTGCATTGTTGGCAAGAATTTATTATAGCTGTTATTGTTTCTTTCATATTTTGCAACCAATAATGCCGTTTTAATTTATTAAATGTTTCTTGGATCACCCTATGACAAGTTTTACCCTCGTGATATTTTATCACTAACTCTCGTTGGTCCTGCTCGGAATCGGTTAACTTAATAATTCTTTTGGTACATTCAACAAGTTTGCAAGCTCCTTTCTTATATAATTGAATTAATACGTTTGAAAAATTTATCCTAAAAGCTGGGTCTTCGAAATAGATGAAATATTTGTTTTTAAAGTCTACATATTCTTTCAGAAAGTCTTTAACTAATGTTTCATTATTTATTGGCATATGAACTTCTAAAATACGATGCTTTTTGTTAGACATGTCCTTGACCGAAAATTTATCAGAGAACCACGAATAAACTAGTATTTGACGCAGTTTTGAGTCTATTGCTTCGTTTAAAATCGGAATGCCTTCGTGTTCCCTATTAGATACGGAGTTCGCTGTAATACCATCGTCTGAGATTTCCATCAATTCATGATGTGTTTCACTTTCCGTATCTGAGATTGACACAACTGGTCCTGTCGAGGCTAATATGTGAAAATTCTCAATTCCAGTCGATTCCGAATTATTATACTGATTTGATTCAATAAATTGTTGCGAATTGCAAGGTTGATTTATTTCGCTATTGGTATAGTTTATTCTCCTTGAGTTAGCAGTTCGCATTGTTACATCGGTGTTCGAACTCGACACCACAGGTGGCGATTGATATTGCGTTAGACGCTGAGTATGCGCAGGGGCATTGTCCACGAAATACTGACAACGATGTATCGGGCCCGGCGCCGGCGGTACTGGTGACCTAATGGTCGATTGTTGTTGATAATTATTGCGATGGCTATTGTTATTTTGCCTAAATTGGAATGAATTATTTGACGAGTTAAAAGAGCGGTTATTATTAACGTAGGGTGTCAAATTATTCTGATTATTAAATGTATTTGCACTAGATTGCTCCGTATGGGGAACATTTCTAGGTGAATAAGTGTAATTATTGTTGGGACTCGGCCTAAAGTTTGTTCGATTAGACCGTGAATTTTTACTTTCATAAACTGACTGAAAGTTTTGTTCTTCTAAGACAATTTTCAAAGCGTCTTCTAGAGTAGTCACGTTCCGTAATCTCACAAGTCTAACTAAATATGAATAAATATAATAAATAAATTATAAAGAAACGCATTTAGTGAACTATGGTTATAAATAGATTGTTTCGCTAGACGTAAGTTCGGATCGTCAATCGTTTCGCTAACCTTAGAAAATAAGACACTTCTCAAATGTTGTATCCTGTGACAAAATTCCTGGTAATTTTCATTACGGTTTAATTTTAAGGATTCGACTTCCAAAGCCAAACATTCCTCGGATCTCGGGTCACCAAAATGTTGGCTTAGTAATGTTTTTAATTCGTCCCAATTATTAATATGATCCCGTTCTCCAACTAGGTTCGCAGTTTCCCCGGATAACCTACTTGTAATAACGTGGAATAAATATTCGTTTTGCAACTGGCTTCCTCGGAATGAATGGAGTATGTACTCGCATTTTTTTATAAAGAGTGGTAAAAGTCTAGTATCACCATAGGAACTCTCACTAAATTTTCCATTTTTATTTCTTTTTGTTACAGAATACACAACCAATAAAAAAATAAAAAAAATACTCTTCGGTTATTATTAAGTGAATTTATAAGGAAATTACATAAAATAATTTAAATTCCTCAATTACTTAACTAATTAGAATAATAACTAAGTGTGAATTTATCTAGTAATTAGGCGTAAATAATCCCACAAAACCAGAATATAAACACACACAAAATAGGAGAATAAGAAGGGTAGGAAAATACAGATTGGTGAAGAAGATCTACTCACAGTGCTGCAGTTTTCCCCATGCTCCTTCTGGAATATTGGTGCCCCGCCCTTGAAGTTGGCCTGTTCCTTAATAAATTTGTTTGTTCCTTTTTTCCCGATTAAAACGTAGAGACGTACTACCGATTTTTCTGCGAAAACTTTTATTCGCCACGAATAATACTTGGTCTTACGGGTCCCTACCGAATGCGCCAATTAAGATAATGAACCCAACTTCAATAAAAAATATATTTATTTATTTTGAAAAAGTTACAGTAAGAAGTTTAAGAATATTCGATATTAAATGATTACCATTGTCTATTTATACTTAAGTTATATGCAACAAAACTATTTACTAAGCTTATTTACTGCATACGCTTGACCCAGATGGGATTGCCGATGATGTGCGAACGAATGAGATTTGGCAGGGGTGCTCAGCCTTAACTCGCGCGTGAACGGTGCTTGCTGCATCAGTGCGGTGCGCCGGTGCGGCACCGCCAGTAACGACGGCCGCCGCCGGCGCCCCGCGCTTCCGTCTGGCGCATTCAGTCGCACCATCTCCAACACTCTCGGGCTGTGTATCCTACCCCTGTTCACCTTCAACACGTATACAGCGACAGCGACTTCTCTTCTGACTTCGAGCTTGTAGTACCCTACCTTTTGTATGAGAGCCAGAAAAAATGCTAGAACAATGTATTTAAATGGATCACTACATTGTCCTCGCTCTATATGTCAAAGTACGGGGTGAGACAAGAAGGGTTGAGCTAGCCTAGTATTTTTAAACTTCACGTAACTAGACTCATTAAGACACCCAGCAGCATGCGCGTCGGTTCTCACATAGATGTGTTATAAGTAAATGTTAAAAATTTTACAGATCTTATGGTGCTGTTGATATGTGGTTTTAAAAAATTATAACGTATTTGTAATATATTCGAGCCTTCACGCGGGGTTAAATACAACGTGTATAAAAGTGAGTATGTGATCGTTAGGGCCGGACGTGACCGTAGGAGTGATGTGCCGCTTATTAATTAAAACGGTACTTCACTAACTAGGGGTGACTTCTTTATAATATCGGGTCATATAGCCACGTCTGAAGGGAATACTGACATTGAACGGGGGCGGAGGGCTGTGTCAGCAAGGTTAAATATGTGGGTTCGCAGTTTTGCACGGTTCTCTCGGAAGGTGAAATTAACTCTATTTATAATTAATAGAAACAGGCGTTACTTTGCGGAAATCCATTATATAAAAGCTTTTACAAAAAATTTACTTCGTAAATATCCGCGTTATAAAATAAAATGATGTGTCTTACCTAGTATGAATTACTGGTGATGGGAATAGTGCACGCAATTGAGGGAGGGCGGGAGGTGCTCTTCGTACTAGGTAAGACACATCATTTTATTTTATAACGCGGATATTTGCGAAGTAAATTTTTTGTAAAAGCTTTTATAACTCTATTTAGACCATATTTACCTGTCCATACACGTGTTGCACGTGGAGGTATTGCACGCAACGGGTTCTCGGAGTCATTCGGACTCATTATAGTAAAAGTTTCTGGGTGTTGATAGGCCTGTAGGCTGTACCTTGATTGTTTTCACGCAACATTACATAAAAAATGTGCATACCTAGAGCGTCGAGCTCAGGTCGATCTCAACATAACTCAGAATAGTTGCGGTTACAGTTAGCAGGTTCAATCAAAAACCACCATCCAAGTAATACAAAAAAGTAAGGAAGTAGGTTACAGTAATACATTTAATGTAAAAGAATCGTACAACTAAATATTGATAAAAGATGGTCTTTGATAATCTTTTCCAGGCGAAGCGGTCGCGGTTCGATAGCATAAAATCAAATGTAAAATTACATTGTCGACCGGTATGCCTTTCAAGTGACGTGATATTGTGTGTAGAATTCTAACGGTGAGCATGAACACTTCGGATAAGTCTAGTGTGCAAAGAAAATTGCCCCTATTTACATACATCACTCCTGTACGTGCCACTTATTAGGAAACCGACTTCTGTTGCTGCCTTTAAGAGAACTGTGTCGGATCGTTACCTTTCTTCTTCCAGCAACTTTCTCATTTAAATGTTTCATACAGAAATAATAAATTATTTATGTTGATTTTGTATAATATGTATGGACATAGATAGGTATGCTTAAAATGTGTGTATTATGTTTTATTTAAAAATTGCTTCCAATATGTACCAGGTATAGAGTATATTATTTAGGTTATTTGTAGTTATTTATATTTATAATTGTACTTACACGTATGGCATGTGTGTTTTATATTTATATTAACGTATGGTTAACTAGTAGAGAATGCATTAAGGCATTAATTCCGCTAATTGTACACTTTAAGTGCAATAAAGATTTTTAAATAAATATAATACATAGGTATACCCAGCAGTGGAATTTATAACATACTTTTTTGATAATTTTTAAAATGCTACCAACGCATCTTTACTAATCTAATTAATAAAATTCTATGAGTGTAGCTTGAAGTTAAATAGTCTAATTAATTTAATTGACGGTTCCGTGGCTCAGTGCTTAGTAATGCGGCGCTAAAGGCAGGAGTACGAATCTCGCACGGAACAAGTATTTGTATGGCCTTCAAGTAATTGTTCCGGATCTGGATGTTTGTCCTTTTGAAATTTATGTATGCAAACTGCTTCTAGATACTTTGCTTTTTAGAATTCAAAATATAAATAAGATTGTATTGAATTGCTTTAAATATAAAAAAAAGACGTGATGTTATCAGTTTCATACAATTATGTATTATAATATTTTATACTCAGTTTGTAAGATCTATGTAATGTATATAATGTAATTTATCTATGTATGTATCAGTGTTAATTGAATTAGACACTATTTATATAACTAAATAGTTATTAGAATTTAACACAAATTTAAGATTTAATATTGAAATCAAGAAAAATAAATCGGAAGATGGTGGTAAAAAAAATATCTTTGCGTCATACTTACATTGGACGGATTTAAAACATTGTCGAGCCATACTCCAGTAGTGTTTTGCTAAAATAAAATGATTGTAAATAAATTTTTAAAGTAATATAATATAAGTTTTAAAATTAAAGTGACAACGGGCCATCCATAACTCTAAGAAGTGACAACCGATGAGGAATAAAGGTTGTCGAGTAGCAGCCTATCGGTAACCGAAGAGCGAGGCGGCCCACTGGAGTAACTACCTAGAGGAATTCGATGCATGCCGGTGGTTTTGGACCGTGCTTTGTGACATTCTTTCAGGAAGCCTACGTACACCAGCGGACGTGTAAAAAGCTGTAATGGTGATGATGAAGTTTTGTATAATTTGTTGAAATATTTCGTTTGAAGTTTACCGTAATCGTCACGTTTACAGGCACCTTGGCAATGACAGCACCAGAAAATTTAGATATTTTAAATCTGGTATTTATAGTGATAAACTTAGAAATGAGGATATCCACAGTAGAACCAGAGTGATCGACATAGCCCAACGGATTAGTAAGCTGAAGTGGCAATGGGCCGGCCATATAGCTCGAAGAACCGACAACCGATGGGGAAAAAATGTTCTCGAGGGGTGGCCTCGTAACGGTGTACGGCGTCCCCCCACTAGATGGAGTGACGACCTGGTAAGATATGCAGGAAGTCGACGGATGAAGGTGCCTCAGGATCGTACTTTGTGGCATTCGTGGGGGGAGGCCTATGTTCAGCAGTGGACTTGTGAAGGGCTGTAATGATGATGATGAATCTGGCATTTATTATACGAAATGAACGACTGTGGTAGCACTTGTGTAACCAATCAAAGGGATTTCTTGTATCCGAAGAAATCGAGTTAGATTTCAGTCAGCATCGATAAAAATGTCGATTGTGATTTTTAAATGCTTATTTGCCACATGCGAAACATCGCGGGGATACATGAAGGTCTGTGAATTAAAAAAAAAACTCAAATATGTAAAATTCTCAGAATATTTACATACATATGTTGTAAAATTAGCAATCTATCTGAGGCCTGCGATCATTGTGCCATTTAACCCAATCGCTGATTACATCATTCTCGGTCTGATATGATGCGATGCATTCACTTACGAAACCATGACACAGTAAAATAGAGATGTATGTAAATTTAATATGATATTATATATCCTGCATAAAATATCATATTAAATTGTGTCAATTTATATGTGTGTGTATTTAAAGAAATATTTTTTTATATAATAGGATAGGGTGACAAACGAGCACCCAGTCCACCTGATGGCAAGTGGTTGCTGTGGCCCATAGACATCTACATCTATCCTCGTTTGCAAATCAAAATGTAGGTGCGTTGCCACCCGTGAGGACTAAGATGGAAAGCCTCTTTTCCAGTAAAAAGGGTCTCCAGTCTTTTCCAGTAAAAACACACACCATACGAAACACAGCAGTTTTAAGCTGCTATTTTACGCTGATATTCTGTGAGAGCGTGTTCCTTCCCCGGTCGAGCCGACCCATTCGTGCTACAACTATACTACTAATATAGCTGCAGCATGGCTCTACCACGTATTAACTAATAAAGAAGGTAAACTTACTTACTCTTTTTAGTCTTGATGACGCAATAAATTGTGACTCATGCAAACCACTTAATGGTAGCACCTGAGCTAAAAAATAAGATAAATTGTTTTAAAGGGCGTAAGTAAACAACCAGTATTTATCACACAAATCACTTCTATAGTACATATACTCTAATGTATGATGTTATATAACATTTTTACTACTAGACGGGAGTCCATTTGGTTAGAAACCACCCGCTTACCTATTTGTTTTGAGAAATAGCTGTGCTTTCACAGCTGCGTTCTGAAGGGCATAGAGTCAGTATAGTTAAAGGCTGCAAGGCATTTAGTCCTCAGAGGTGACAACACATCTGTAGCTTTCTTTATTTACAGTTAGCTGCAGGCGTTCAAGAATTAAAGTAGCCACTTAACGTTATGTGGACTAAAAGTTAACTTGTCACTTCTTTTTTTTTATAGGATATGGTGAGAAACGAGCACACAGTCCACCTGATGGTAAGTGGTTGCTGCGGCCCATAGACATCTACATCTATCCTCAATAAAGAATCAAAATGCAGATGCGTTGTCACCCGTAAGGACTAAGATGGAATGCCTCTTTTCCAGTAAAAAGGGTCTCCGGTTCTCTACACTCACCATACGAAACACAGCAGTATTAAGCTGCTATTTTACGCTGGTATTCTGTGAGAGCGTGGTCCTTCACCGGTCGAGCCGACCCGTTCGTGCTACAACTATACCACCAATATAGCTGCAACATGGCTCTAACACGTATAAATCTTCGTATAAATACTTCGTATAATACCACGTATAAATACTTCATTTTCATATAAGAAAAAACACTCACCACAAGAGAATATTAAAAGAAATTTTGTAACGTATTTCATTTTGCTTACTATACAATACGCTGTCAATAGGAAATAGATAAAATTACATAACAATGAAAAATATTTTAAGAATATTAACTGTAAAACAAAATAGAAAACAACGCGATTGAGCACATACGATTCACACGTGTTTTTAAGATATACTGATGGTTAAAGTTATTTATTAATCAAGCTGGTTTTGTTGCTAGATTGCGCAAACCTGTTTCCTTTTATTCACGTAATAATCATAAAAACAACAATGTAATGGCGGGAAAGAAAATGATGGTCACTCTACATAACAGGTATCATTACACGATTGTGCTTTTTTGATATTATTTTTTTATTTATTTAATACAAACACTATAATATGAACATTGCATACGTGGTATAGTCACGCTGCAGTTATTTTATGGCACAAACATAAAATATATATGTGAACAGATTGGCTCAACCGCGGAAAGTCCACGCTCTCATAGAATACCAGCGTAAAATAGCAGCTTTTTGCTGCTGCGTTTTGTATGGCGAGTGTAAAGAACCAGATACCGTTTTTACTGTAAACGAGGCATTCTATCTTAGTTATTAGGGGTGACGACGCATATGCATTTCGATTCTTAACTGAGGATATATGATGTCTATTGGCCATATCTGTTTTTTTACGATTAGGTGGACTGTGTCGCACTTATTTTATAGAAACTAACTGTTCAATCTGTTCAAAATATTAAATCTAGTATCTGACAATGTATTAATTACAGAGGCTGATACAAAATGTACATAGTTATTAAATCTATTTATCCTAGTCATGTTTAAAATCATGTATCATCGCTTTGTACTGAAACTATTCACCCATTGTCCAAAATAGTATATTGCCCATAGATTACACACTGTATAATTGCTCTTTTGCATACGTACCTTCTAAGCGGAAGCAGTAGCGTAGAGTTACCGTGATAGTATTGTCTCATCTGAGGAATGCGTAGTCTATATACAGGTTTATTTTTCAAATAGTAGCCAAATTTTAAACTAAGTTCAAATATATAAATAATGATATACCGTTATTGCAGTTTTTGAAAATACGAGTAAATAAGGCTTCAAATTTTATTTGAAATTTTCCCAAATTGAATTTGATTTATGGGCAACAATGTTTTTGCCTATCGATTCACCCTTACGAATGAACATTAAAATCAGTTAAAATTATGCATTACAACAAATTAAAGATAAAAAGGGCAGAATGTTTGAGATATTTTTTTAATTAATTTTTCTTCATCATTTGCTTATATAACTTATTCTGAACCTTCTCTGCAAATTTGGCCGGTTATTGCAAAATAACCCTGTATATAATTCTCCATTTATTTTGTTTTATTTTTGTATCTTATTAAATAATTTAATTGTGTGCCTTGTGCCTTGCATATGTTTTGTTTTTTGTTTTGTTACGGTTTTTTTTGCGTTGGCTTATTATTGTGCCTTTCTTTTCTAAATGTCAACAGTTTTTTTTATTATTATTATTTATAAATTTTATAAGAGTGTATTTTTTATTTTTATGTTGGAGCTTATGATTGGCTAAGTTTATTTTATTGCACCTATGCCTCTGGCGTTTACTGAAAATCAGCGTTATAGTTATCACTATGTGGTTTCTATAACATTTGTGCTGAGTAGACGCCATTTTAGTTCCATTCCATTAATTTATTTTGTTATGTTAATTTGTGTTTTTGTTTAGAACTAAATAAATTATATTATTATATTATTATTATTATTATTATATTAATACCTGAAGAGTAAGCTTTGTACCTATTTTTAAGCATATTGCGCGCACAAGGGAGTGTGTGATTTGGAATAGTAAAAGTTCTTATGGAGAAGGAGTACAAAAGGTTAAAATTTAAATATAAAACGTGTTACAAATACATTAAATAAAATAAAAGAAAACAAATATTGTTTACATTAACACTGCCAAAATGTGATCAAGCAGTCGTACGGAGTAGAAATTGTCGCTATAAATGTAATGTGCAGTTAATGCATAGATAATATGTATATGTACAAAGAGTTGAAAGTGAAATACAGCTTGTTTAATATACAAACCTAAAAAATTAATGAGTTGATGGTTGAACATAGCATCACAACATTTGAAGAGGTGACTATGTGCAACGCTAAACAATCTTATGTCAGCCGATAGTTGTAAGTGAAGATAGCTGTGAATTTCTACAATCTGATGATGAAAAAGACATTGTTTATTTTGTAATAGCTTTTAAAAAAGTAAATTAAAAATGGGCACGGGCCTCCTTTTACTTCTGAGAGGGTTTTAGGGCAAGGAAGTGTCCGCCGCGCTGCCCCATGCGTGTTGCCGGACTTCACATGTCTTCAAATTTCTCAGACATGTAGGTTTCCTCACGATGTTTTCCTTCACCGACGAGCAGGTGGTAAAATTAGTAACATAAAATTGCAACTAATAATTTCATTGGTGCCCGCGGGGATCGAACGCAGATTGCTCGCATACTGTGAAATTTACAATTAAAAAAATTACAATTTACGCGATAAAATCCTAAAGTAAAAGTAAGTAAAGAATACCTTTTCCTGTGTCCTCGTTTGCGTGGTTATTTTTTATAAGCATTTGATATTATAATTGTAGTAGAACCATGCTACAGGTATATTATAAGCTGGAGCATGAATTTGTAAGGACCACGCTCTCATAGAATACGAGCGTAGGATAGCAGCTTAATGCTGCTGTGTTTCATATGGTGGATGTAGAGAACCGGAGACCCCTTTTATTGGAATGAGGCATTACACTTAGTCCTCAGGGGTGACAACACATCTGCATTTTGATTCTCAATCGAGGAAAGACGTTTGTGTCTATGGGCCGCAGCATCCACTTAACATCAGGGGGACTGTGTGCTCGTTTGTAATCCTTATTATATAAACACAAATATATATTTTAATTGCAATACTTCAGAAGTAACAAGTACGACATAATTTTAGAGGTGGCAGGCATGATTCGTTTCATGCATTAACAATCCGTCTGCAGTGCGCTAATTGTCGCATTTTAGATTTTAAGAGTGAAGACATCAAGCATATTAACAGGCTTTCCATTTTAGTCTCCAGGAGTAAAAAACATAACCGTAGAGAAATAAAATATTTAGAGTGGTTCGTGGTTTCTTTTTAATAAGCAAAAGTTTAAAGGAAATGTACATAAATTTCTTTTTTTTTCATTTCATCGATTTTGGGTAAGGGCCAGCTCTAGTCCAATCGCACAAAATGAATATATTTTTTAAATATTTTTATTAAAGTCGCCCTTTTCTGTGCGTTTTATTTTTTCGTTTCTTAATCCTCTTGCAGATAAAGTTTTACGTAGTCTAAAAACTCGCAGCACGTTTAGGTAAGGTAATCTCCTTAAGGAACGTCATTTCCATAGCAAAAACAAATTTATTGCAGACAACAAAATACAAAACAGGTTAGATAAGCTTGGAGCTAAAACAAAGAAGATAAATGTAAGATAACTTTAAAGGTTTATACTTTGGTTTTGAAGCTTTGTTTTTTTTTTTAAATGACGTAAAATGAAATACGAATTTATATTTTCCTGTCAACTTTTTTAATAGAACTTGTACGTGGTAGAATACGCTGCAACGTATTGTGTATGCAGCAAGAATGGTTCGACTGGGGAAGACAACAGGATCGCATAAGATACCAGTGTAAAATAGCAGCATATAATGTGGTTCTTAATTAGAGTGCCGAGAACTGTACACCCTTTTTATTGGTAACGAGAAATTCCACCTTCGTTTTCAGAGGTGACAACGCATCTGCAATTTAATTTTTAAACGAGAAACTACAGCATCCACTAAGTTATGGGATGGACTGCGTGCACGTTTGACACCCTTACTTCTATTTCAATTTAAAATGGAATAACGAAATAATATTTATTATACTGGTGACTGCATCGTTGGTCTAGTTCTCGTAAGCGCGACTGCTGATCAAGATAATAGATCGGAGAAAGAGTTTCTTCGTATTTTGTTTGTATAAAATTTAAAAAAAATCTCTTTGGTTGTACTGTTTGTGTCTGGCAGGTTTGAATATCAATACATGTAGGACCCGGCTTCCCGGCATTCGGCCGCGTGGGCCGGAAACAGTGTCTTGCACGCCGCGGCCTTGTCGACTAGTATTGTCTTCGACCGCTGAGTTGGTTACGCGCGGACGGTGTTGATTTAGACGGTCTAGATTTTGAGTTAGTTGGGCGTGGCTGGTGTCAGGAATTGTGCGCGTCGTTTTGAATTTACTATCGAATATTTGGGTTCGGTTAAGACCGCCTCGAATTGAGTTGCATGTTTTAATCGTTACGTGACAAGAGGCCTAATTTGAGTTTTGAGTGATTAAATTAACTGATTGCCATTAATTTGCGCCGACGAGTTGTTGGTTGTGTGGCTTTTAATATTGTACGAAGGAATTTTGCTTTGTCGGGAGAACGCTGTACTTTATGACTCGAGAAGAGATCACATGTGCTCGATTATAATTTGTTGTTAAGTGAACATGAAACGTTGAACTTTGACCGACCGTTCTTTGGTTGTGCCGTGTGTCACTTGTTTGATTTCGATTGACGTGGATTTGGTTGAATTTGAAGTTAATTAAATGTACAATAAAGTTGATAAACTAATATAGTGAAATAATAGCGGAAGTTTTCAATTGTTGAACGCCCACTGGAGGGATCGCACATTTGGAGAAAAGCAGCGCCGTAAGTTTTGTTTACTTAGCAACCATTAATAATAATCCATAGGCCATTGGGCCCGAACCCTCGGCTGTTCGTCGAGGAGGCTACTATGGGCCCTAGCTCAGTCGACTTTTGCCGGGGCAGCGGAGGGCCTTACCACAATCCTACCTGTTTCTGCCGTCAAATAGCAGTGCTCGCAATGCTGTTTTTCGGTTCTGTAGTTTCGGTCTTAAGTGTACAGAAAGGTAGTGTAATTACAGGCTGTGAATGACTTCATCTTAGTCGTCAGAGGTGGCCAACGCATCTGTAGACTTCTCCTTTAAAGGTTGGCTACATA